AGTTTTAGGACGGATGGAGTAAAAAAAATGTTATCGAAAGTCCCACAGTTCTAAGGACCATAAAAAGCGAATCAAATATTAAAAGATGAACAGTAAGGATTATACAACTACAGAATAAAGATTGATGAACAAAAAACACCAATCAAATAACAAACCCCTACAAAGGCACCCCTTTACACCCTAACTCCCAACTATGACCTGAGTCCCAAGTCAAATTACTACCCTACGCCTTTAATCTTCGAACTACAACTTTGATTATTATGATGAACTATAAACATTTTTTTCGATGCGGGGTAATAATCTTACTTTGGCAAATGAGATGGAAAGCCACCCAATGATGTTAGGAAGAGCAGCAATCATTAACGACTGCAATTTGAAAAGTAACAGCTACGGTAAAACTGGCAACCAACACATGTATAAGAAGAACTGAATATATATATATACACACACATACCCCCTTTCGTCCAATGTACTCTGCAATCTGACCACTAGCAATTGCCCCAACCATAGCACCAACATTCGACAGAGAACCGAATAAGGAGAACTGACCAAAAAGATTCTCATCAGCTTTTCATCCACACAGAAACTAGGTAAAAGAGAAAAAGTGATTCTTTCAGACCTCAGATACAGAGAGGTTGAGATCTTTCATAATAGCACTTTGTGTTGGAGAAGAGTACCCACCCTTCAAACAAGAAAACAAGCCAATCACTTTACAAAGATTGCAGACACAATCAAACCACAAGTGCAATCAGTAGAAATAAGCAAGAACCCAGATTCGGGTCTCAATCATAACACACAATTAGCCCGAAAAGAAATCTCAAATCTCAATTACCAAAAAGGAAAAAAATCATTGAAATTATAAGTTGATTTCGGTTGGAAGATACTGTTTTGCTGTTGAATTTGGTGTTCTATGCAGTCAGGCAGGTAGTTAAAGCAAGTCAAAGTAAAACATAAATCAAAAGAAAGGAAAATGAAAGATAGATTGGCATAGAGATGAGAGGAAGTAAATAATACAGTGAAACCAAACTGGATAGGGCCCAAGGCGACGATGAGAACACAGGCCATGACAGAGATAGAGCTATCCTTGATGACCTGAGAAGAACTCATCATGCTCGATTGTCTGGAGCCCATACGGTACCAACTCCCAGTGTGCAGAAATGGCTTCCTCAGATCCCCTCTCCCATCGTCGCCTTCTTCCCTGAAACTCATTCTTGCCCTCTCTGCGGTTCCCGTCAACGGCTCAGAATCAGATGATTTCTTGAGATTTTGAATACAGGAACAAGAAGAAGAAGAAGAAGGCGATAAAGATGACGATGAGTCAGAGAGTAGCTGGCATGGCAGAACCCAGACCCGATTTCGCCTATCGTTCCAAACTTGTTGTCAATTTGTCATATGTTTAGCGTGCGAGAGATATGGATGATTGGTCGGCGTTCACGTGACACGCCCCAGTCACCATGGAAGTGATTATTGGGAGAATTTTAGAGCCGGAAACTCCAATTCAGTCACTTCTTTACCAACCCATCAATTTCAGGTGTTTTTTTACTCCATCTTTTTCACCACCATTTTGGATTTTCGGTAGATTTCACATTTACGGAGTAACTTTCATTACCATTTGCCAGGCAAATAAACAAATTATACTCCGTATTACTCCAATGGTGGACTTATAGTGGCATCACTTTTGGTGACACTAGCATTGTAATTTTGGAATACTTCTGCTTCGTTTGTAAAATTGATAATTCTTATCTTTTAAATCATCCTTTAAATTTCAAATCCTACCTCCACCCATGCATCCCACCCCAACCCCTCCATAAGCTCCCCACACAATGTGTGACTATGTGACTATTTTGTGGGGGCTTATGGCGGGGTTGGGGTGGGTGCAGGGGAGGGGGTAAGGTAGAGGTTTAGGGGTGGGTTAGAGGATGTATGAACTGTCAATTTTGCGAACAGAATACCGGAAGTGCTCTAAAATGACAGTTGCTAGAACCTCGCCGTTACTCCAAAGTCTAAACTTCATTCAGTATTTATTCAGTATTATATAAGATAAATCTAATAAAATTATTTATGAATCATTCTAAATAAGACTAAAACATAGAGAAAAGTACCAAAATATGACTTTCATATTTTTTCTTTTGAAATAGGACTTCGCATTGTGGTAATATGACATTTTACACGTGCACATTACTATATTTTTTGATAATGTACATGACCACGTTTGGTAATGTAAATACATTTTTAGTCTTATTTTGGTCTTTCTTCCAAAATTATTCTTATATCACTATTTAATATAAATTTTATTTAATTAATAGATAGATTTTATCATTTTTTATTGCAAAAAATTAAAACTAGATAAAAACTCTAAAAAAGAGGTTGTAAATGACTACATACTCCGTACATATCATTTGTCCTTGTTTATATGATTTTAGATATATGAGTATATGACAAAACAATCATGCCGAAGAATCAATTAAAATTGAATCCATGTATATATCGTTTACCTCATCTGGAAAAAAATTATGGAGTATTTACTTTATTTCCTTTCAAAGGAGTAAAAAAAACTCCAACTTTATTTCTTGTTGGAAATCTCTCAAAAGTTTGGAATAAAAAAGGAAAAAATCCAATGATCTTTTGCTATATTCATAGAGCTACAATCTCCAAAAGATCAAATAAGGAACACTATCTATTTGTAGTCCTTTATTTAGAAAAAGATCACAATATTTTATTCTCTTGAAGGAAGCTAAGACATGGGTTCTTGAAATGAAATGACTAGTTGTGTCTTACCTTATTGATTTGGTAATGAAAGTGTCTTGAAATTCCTCACATATGTGGTTAGATGATCATGTTTCTTCCTTCCTCTAATTCATACTCCCTCCCTCCCAAATTATTTGCAAGGTTTGCCTTTTCAGGGAAGCTTTTGTTTATTTCTACGTTTTCATTGGTTATTTGATAAAATAAAATATTCTTGACACCTCTTATTTCGAAGAATTTTTCATGTAGTTTCATGATATATAAATTTTATTTTTTATTTATATACCAATATGTAAATAAAATGAATTGAAAAAACTTAATACTTTGCTTCGGAAATACAAATGTGAAAAATATTTAGGGACGGTGAGAGTATTTTATATTTGTGGTACTCCGGGGTATGTATTTACTTCCCTCATTAATACAGAAGTTGAATGTGTTCCAAGAAGTGCGTTGTCATAGAGTGCGTAAGAGCAATGTTACATTCACAAACAGAATATTCACAAATTTCACAAACTTACTATTTATGGTTTTCATTTTAAAATTATTTTAGATTATTTAATTTTATTTATTGAAGTTCACAATTAGTAAGTTTGTGAAGTTTGTGACCATTTTGTTTGTAAACCAAGCATTTTCCAGTGCGTAATTTTGGGAGAAATATTGTCAAATCATTGCATTTGTTCTAATTTATCCAATATTAGACTATTATCCAAATTGAAAAACAACGATATTGACAATAGTTGTAATTATACTAAATGTAGTAATAATAATAATGAAAAAAACATTAACGGAGAGAAAATATAATATCGCGTTGGTCCATTTTAAATACAGGTAACATTGTGCTCATCTTGATTTCTACTATCGAGGATGCACGGGGCTAAGCGATGTGCCGAAGCCGTGCGATGTAAAAAGACATCGGTAGGGGAGCGTTTTGCCTTAGTGGCAGTGGCGGGTCCAAAAAAAAATATGACTTGGGACAAATACAGACTAAAGAGTATGGCGGGGTTCGGGAGTGGCACTCTCAATTTTGTAAAGCGTTTGATAATGATAAAAATAAATAAATTCAATTTCAAACAAGTATTCATATCAAAAAAATTATTTTTAAAGTAGAAAAATAAAATATATCATAACATAATCTAATTATGATATTTAAAATATTTTACCTGTATATATTTTTAAGTGATTATTTTTTACTTTTAAACTAAGATTTTCTTTTGTTAGTGGGGGCAAACTAAGTTTTTACCGAGGGCGTTCTTTGAATTCTCTACAAAAAAAATATTTTAATACTACACATTACGAAGTAAAAAATTTGACTGGGGGCGATTGCCCCGTATTCATACATGTAGATCCTCCCCTGCTTAGTGGGAAGCCTACGCGCGAGCAAGAATGGACAAAGCGGAAGCGAGAATGTAAAGTAAACATTGGAGAGAATCCGATTCCCCAAAAACCTAAGGATTCCTCCGAGAGGTTCGTCTACAGAGGGTAAGTCAATACCTAAGATCAGGCTCAAAGGGGTAGACCACAAGACCTCTAGCATGGTTTCATGTGCGATCAATTTAACACGTGTCCTTAATTTTTCCTTTTCGTACTATTGTTGGTCCATTTAATACTACCTCGTCCTAATGTCTTTATCCACTTTTGACTTTTGGAACTGTTCATCTAATCACTCTGACTTATCAAATTCTCTCAATGTGTAAGCCTAAATATAGTCATGTGTGATCTTGTTTGATTTGTCTTAACATATAGATTATTAATATATAATTTCTATAATTTTTTAATATATAAATTACAATATAAAATGGATTAAAGAAATGCATTGGATGGTGTGTCAAAAAATAAGTAGACAAAGACAGTGGGACGGAGGTAGCACAAAGTTACACGGATATATTTAAAAATCATATTAAAGGATTTATTCATTTTATTGATCTCTTTTCATAATAGATACTCCCTCCGTCCTATAATGATCTTCCCGGTTCGCAAAACGAAGAAAAATTCCAAGTTTTTTCAATCTATTTTATTTAAATATTGGTATATAAATAAAAAATAAAACATACATATTTAAAAACTACATCAAAAGTTCAACAAAACAAGTGGTGACAGGAATATTTTATTTTATCATATAGACCATGAAAAAACACAAATAAATATAAATTCCCTTGAAGTTAGAATAATGCTTTGGGAAGATCATTATAGTATTATAAGAAGGAGGGAGCAGATATTATTCTTATACGGAGTAAAATTTATGGAGCAAGAGGAAAAAAACCAAAGTTATCCATTTTTTACTCCGTATAATTGGAGTAGTTTTAACCACCGTAGCATCCGCCCACTCAACTACCGCCGGCGGCCTGCGACGACAGCCCCGAATTCTCACGGCGAACTTGGGAATTCCCGATGAGTCGATGACCATTAGCAGATGCTGCACATCCGCCATGGCCGATGAAGAAGCCCTCCCCCAAACCGAACCACAACACGACCCCCCATGGACCCACCTAATGCTCCGCCGAAGCGAAGTGCTTCGTCGTCACCCGCAGCTACACTGCCATCCCGGCCCTGCAAGATCCGGAAGCTATCCTCCCCTTCCGCCGCCACCTCGGCGCCGCACTGCAGTCCAGCGCCAAGAATCGCCGCCCGTCTCCTCTCATGTCGCGGCGAGCTCGAGGCCGCCATTCACCACCTCCGATCATCAGACCCTAGACTCGCCCCGCTCATTGACTCTTACCCGCCCCCAAATCTGGAGCCCTTCATGCCCCCATTCCAAGGCCCAACATAAACATCCTAATCCAGCAACTCGCTCTCAAAGCCGGAACTTCAATCTACGCTCGCTTCCTCACTCTCTCTGCGGCGGAGAATCAGATCTCCTCCCCGATGTCGTTTCGAACATAACCCCACAACAACTCCGGCAAATCGGAATCTCTTCCCGGAAGGCAAGCTACCTTCATTACCTAGCAAGGAAATACCAGACCGGGATTCATGATCCGGGGATAAGGAGAGGGGTACAAATGCTCAACGTGCTCGAGGAAATGCCCAAGCCATCTCAGATGGATCAATTCTGCAAAAGTGGAGGCCTTATAGGTCAGTGGCGGCTTGGTACATTTGGAGATTAGTGGAAGCCAAGAATGCAAATTCAGATCCCATTGTTGAAGGGGATACAACTTTGCAGAAGCTACAGCAAGAACTCCATCATCATCATCATCAGCAGCAGTTCTTGGATGGTCCTATCAATGGGATTATGAATCTTCCAATGACACCAGCAGTTCATGGATCCATTTTCGTTTGGGATTGGCAGTGTTAGTAATTTGAGGTTAGTGATAGATAGAAATATGCTAATCTGCTTCTTGTCAATACTTACTCGAACTATGATGCTACTCATGAGCCATTCTTGATGCTAAAAAGATTTTGCCTTTTGATTATGAAAATGAATACTCTCTCTGATCAGAGAAAATGTCAAGTAAATCCCACCATAACCGGTGGATCCGGAAGTAAAGAGTGAACCGTGAAGACGCTGCACCTTTTAATTTTGCTAATTGTTGAGGAGATTCAACTCTCAACTCTGTTGCAACTCAATGTTTCATAATGTGTTGTTTTACGAGAGTGTGCACAACAATTCAATGAAAAGCACTGAATTAGGCATTCAAGAGAGTGCAAATAACAAGAAAGAACACATTTTTTTTCTGAACCAAGAAAGAACAATTTTTTTTTTTCTGAACCAAGAAAGAACACAAAGATAATATATAGTCTGGACTACATGTTATAAATGGTGGTATTAAGTTGTGCATGTTTGTTTGGTCATACACATCTTCTTGCTATATTTGAGCCTCCAACCTTAAGTTAACAACACATGCTTCCTTTAGCCAAGCTTGATGTCCTCAGAAGTCTGCATCAAAAGAAATTCTTTGGTTTTTTAAAGGAAAAAAAGAGAGACTTGAGAGCAAATGCTATTTTTGTCCAATTTGGTCAAATTTTATCCTTACTCCTTTTTTCCTATGAATTTATTCTTGTCATTTTATTCAACTTTATTTACTTTTACCACACTTTTTCTGTGTGTTTGGCATTAGCTTTAACGTTTAGTTTCCAGGTTTAAAGAAAGTTATCCAATCATCAAATGCTAGCATTTAGCTTTAACATTTAAAAGTTCTTGATTGATTGAAGAATATTACTCTATCAATTTGCAGGCTTGGTCCCTCCTCCAGATTAGAGATGAGCTTATCTTATCTTCATGGAAAATCTAGAAAACATATTCACTAATCACCCATCCCATTAGATTATGGACACACATTAAACGATGTTTCACTAATGTTATCTTTATTTTTTTTATTTAAATATTGGTGTAAAACTAAAAAGAAAATGAAGAGGTAACATGACTAGGTAGCTAACCTCTGTTCATGAATGATTATATAAGCTAGCTATCAGTGTAATTTGGGCATGGCACTTCATCATTCTCAATCTGCAACACATCTTTCACAAGAATTTCGTAATGCCCCTTCACTTCCTCAGCTGATTTTCCTCCCACTATTCTGGCAATGTTGTACCAACGGTTGGGCGTGTCCCTGTCATATATCGCTAATGCCTCTTCGAACTTCTTGTTTTGTCTTGGTGTCCATGATGATGTGGCCATATTTATATCAGTGATATATAATGTGATATCAGTAGAGCTTATCTAGATTTGTATATGTGTGTGTGTGTATGAATAGATTTTTATATCATATGTAGGCAAAGAATGGGTTGATATATGGTATGGGAAAGATGAGATGAGAGGACCTTCAATGCAAGTTGTACCCTTTATATTATGTAGTATAGGACAATAGGTATATATGGTGGGAGAGAGATAATCAACTCTTTCTATAGTAGTGTCATCCTCTATAACAGTAATTTAACTATTTCTATAGTAGTTGAGTTGATTTTTCAACATGGTTAGCGTGTTCTTGACAAAGAGGTTAAGTTCAAATTTTATTGTTATAATTAAAAAAAGTAAAGTTTTACGTGCAAAGCTCGAAGTGTCTACAGCAGGTGAAAGAACGTGTTAGAATATAAAAATCTTTCATGAGCTTACAATCACTACAAGTTTGAGCTTTTAGTTGAATTAGTTTTTGGCAATTTACTCCGTACTTAAGTGTAAATTATTTCACCTCTTGTTTTGTAGCCAAATTCTTTTGTAATTAATACTTACAAAAGCACATTTTCTTGTCGTTTACAATATATCACCAGCAAAGGGATCATTTGGGAGAATTTTTCCCAGCTGGTAAAGATCAGATCTAACATCCCAATGGAATTCTACCAGCTAATATAGAGATGCATGAAAGTGAATGGACCAAAGGGAAATACATTCACTGATTCGGATATTATGCTATCTTTTGATAGGATAGGATGAACCTGTTTTATTGTCCTAACTCTAATAATATCAACAAAGGTAACATGGTTATTATACTGATTGGTAAAAGTATCAATAAAAATATGTAAAGAAAAAAAAAGAGTCTCATTTCACCTCTTGTTTTGTAGGTGAATTCTTACGCAGTCTTACGGTCTGTGCTCATTAGAGCTGTCAAATCGGTCGGTCAGGTCGGGTTCGAGTTCGGTCGCTTCAAGTTCGGGTTATTTCGGGTTCGGTTTGAGAATTGTATGTTCATGACCCAGTATCGTCGGGTTCGGGTTGACCCAACGGGTTATAACTTTGATTTTTAAAATTTTTAAATTCACATTACCACTTACATTTTCTATTAAATAAATTTAAAANTGAAGTAATTTTTTAGATATATAAATCAATATAAAGAATTTAAAAATGCTTAAGTTTTGGAAAAAAGTAAGATAATTATGCAATATCATTAAAATTTTCTCTGCAAATATAAATTTGTACACTAAAAACGAGTAGTAAAGTGTATGATTTTGAAAAATTCTTACTTTAGCGGGTCGGTCAGGTCGGGTTCGGGTTCGGTCGGGTTTGACCCATTTTTAGCGGGTCATTTCGGGTTCGGTCAACTTCGGGTTCGGTCATCAAAACCATTGTTCAAAACCCGGTGTTTTCAGGTCGGGTTTCGGGTCAAAAACAGGTCGGGTCATTTTTTGCCAGGTCTAGTGCTCATTCTATAAATTTTAGTGCATTAATATCATTCAATAAAGGAAAAATTACCCAAAATAATCCCAACTTTATCTGGTCTTTCAAAAATAATCTCATCTTTCACTGTGATGCATAATAATCCTAACTTTATTGAAAGTTGTCAGTTTTGGATCGCCGTTAAGTTTCTAACGGAGGGTTAACGGAAATGCCTGTTTTGGGTAACAAAATGAAAGTTGGGATTATTTTTGATGAATTTTCATTTTTTTATTTTTTTATTTTTTTCATTTAAATTTTTTAAATTACTTTCTACCTCCATCATCATTTCTTTTTTCTTTTTTAAAGATTAGTCTTAGTTTAAAAAAATAAAAATAATAGACATAAAAAAATGAAATAATGAGAAATGTAACTAAAATGATACAAAAATAATAAAATAAATAAGGTAATCAATGGAAACTAACTTGAAATTGGTAAAAGTAAAATAAAAATATACGGGTTGGTTTTAATATTTTACACACTATACAAAGTATTAACATATCACTTCTTATTTTTTATAACAAATTATCTACATTATTAAGACCCTGCATAGTGTTTAAATGTTAAAACCCACCACTATGTATATATTTATTTTATTTCTTACCAGTTTATGTTTAATTTATATTGATTACATTATTTATTTGATTAATTTTGTATGATTTTAGTTATTTTTTTCATTTTCATTATTTTTATATCTATTTTTTCAAAGGTAAGAATAATCTTTAAAAAAAGAAAAAGAAATGGAGGTAGAAAGTAATTTTAAAAATTTAAATGAAAAATTTTAAAAAATTTAAAAAAATGAAAATTTATCAAAAATAATCTCAACTTTCATTTTGTTGCCTAAAACGGACATTTTCGTTAACCCTCCGTTAGAAACTTAACGGCGACCCAAAACTGTCAAATTTCAATAAAGTTGGGATTATTGTGCATGACAGTGAAAGGTAGGATTATTTTTGAAAGACCTGGTAAAGTTGAGATTATTTTGGGTAATTTTTCCTTCAATAAAATCATTGACCTTTTGAAAAAAGAAAAGATTCACATGTAAACCTTATTTCCATAAAAGAGAACTCTATTTTGTAAAATTATTTATTTATAAATATTTTTTTTGTTTGTACACCAATTTTGATATAAATTGATTTGTAATTATGTGGGGAAAAAACTAAACTATGAGTAAGACATGGATAAAAAAATATCAAAATATGAGCTCTACATTTTTATCCTCAAAATATGAGTTACAATATCAATAATGTCAGTATGTAATACCAAAAAAACACAATGGGATGCCACTATACAATGCTATAATCTTACGGTGCAATTTTTTTTGGAGAAAAAATATGGAAAAAAACTAAAGTATGAGTAAAACTTTAAAAATATATCAAAATAATAGTTTCATACTTTTATTATAGAAATAGGAATAAAAATACAAACACAGTGTTAATCATGAATGATTCAGATTTATTCATTCTTTGCCAGTGAAATATTAAGTATTATTAGTGATTTTAGTATCTGATATGCACATATTTTAGACACTTTTTAGATATATTTTGTACCAATTGAATTAATGTTTACATTTTATGTCAATTTTCCGTTTTATTTTGGTAGATGGGTCCTATGCTTGGTTTTATATGTTTTGCAGGTATTTTGAGATAATTTGGACGCATTGAGAACAATTTCTAGAACGGAAAATAAACATGGAAGTTTGGGACTAAAATAAATGGAAGAGATTTGAAGAAAAGAAAGAAATAAATCTAAAAAATGAAAAGATTGGTGCTGGGATACGAACAAAGGACTTCAGAGTATGGATGAGCAGCTTGGACCATCGTTCCACAGCTGATTATTCAACATGTCACTGGCGGACACGAAATAGGTTCATAGTTTAAATTCGACCATGAATTGATAGAAAAATGACAAAACACCGACACTGGATGGAGAATCAAACATAGGATCAAGTAGCGAGACAAACAGCCTCAATTCCATGTGGGCTACTGTAGCTTTATTGACATTTTTGGGACTGTTCGTATATACTCTGTATATACGAATTTATCTATAAAATCCACTTCTTTCTCTTCTTCTAGGAGGTTGGAACCCCCATTTTCTCCCCTCTCTCCATTTCGAAATTCTCTTCCTCCCTCACTAATATCTCACCACTTTCTTCATCCAAACACATAAAAATTACTCCATCTTCATCATCATCTATTATATTTGGAGCTTAAGAACACACCTTCCATTTTGTAAGATTTTTATGTTTGTAATAAATATTTATTTGTTTAAGCTTCAAACTATGAACTTCTAAATTCCATTGGGGTTAGAAGTTGGTGTAATTAATTTGTCCATCTTAATGTTTTAAATATTTTTAACATTGATTGTTGATTTTATTTTTACTTAGATGTTGTATTTAAAAATAAATAAATTTGGAATGTTTGTGATTATTAAGGGTTCAATCATAAACATAATTGTTACAAGGAATATGAGTTAAAATTGATATAATCATAAAATAGAACATTTTTTAATTACACCGTAAGCCTTCTCTACCTTTAACCGGGATTGAAGACTTTCGGGTGGACATAATTATTGAGTTGTATTTTTACACCATTAAATTGGATAAACATACAATAAAATAATTATGGTTGCCGTTGTTACTAAATAATCACTCCGGATTTATCATTAGCGTGTTAAAGTCGGAGTAATTATTATTTAAGTGAACTACGAGAGCGTCCCTAAATACTTTTCTGCAACCCCACACATTCCATATAAAAATAAATTGACAATCCAACTTTTATAAAAACATTGGACAATTAATTTACCAATTTCTACTCCTAACTTTTCATCATCAAAAACTTTGTGTTGTTTGGAACTCTCTCCTTTTACACTTTTTATTTTATCTTTAAAAACCAAAAAGACCAAAATATTTTATAACTTCTTTTGTAAACTTTTGTTTAAATTAAATTAACTCACGTCTTCCTGAGGTTCGACACCCTACTTACAAGGGATTCTTTTTAGTTATTATTTTTGCCCGTTCTATACTGCAAATCATTATCATTGAATATTTTATTTCATGCAATGTTTGTACATACCCTTCCTAGGAGGGTCGAGACCCATTGTGGTGTGTGGTGTACCCCAAACTCTGTTTCTTCATTTTTTATGAGTTCGAGTTATCTTTCACTTTGTAAAAATATTGCCTAGAGCATAAACCAAAAAGGAATAAGGTTATCAGAAAAAATAGAAAATAGAATATTATCATTATTTACCTTTTTTGTTCTATTGTTATCACAATTATCATTATACTCTAACTAGGATTTTGCATGTATTATTTATTTATACTCATGTAATTCTTTATCATTCAATATGATCAATTATCATCAAATTCAAATTGTATCATGAAATTAAAGTTAAGATCGTCTCTCTGGATCTTCTTAAAAACCTATCTTCCTTTCATTTGTTTTACGACCATACACCACCACTAGTCTTTATCATTAATGGTCGACCGTCGTAGTCCCGTAGACCATGGTCTCACCATCCATGATCTCTCTTTTTTCTCTAAAGATTATGAGCATGCTTAGGAGTAGCTATCCTTTATGCTTCTCTTTTTGTCCAAAAAAATCGTGTTTATGATCGAATAATTAAAAAGTTGCATTTGTCTGTGTTTGTTCTAAAGTTTAAGAGCATGAAAAATGCTAGAGAAGCAGAAAACATTATCCAAGGAGAAAAAAGAAACTACACGCCCTTGCTCTAATTGTCAATACTCTCAGGGAAAAAACTCATCAAACGTACTTTTAAGCTTGTTCGTCAAGCAACAAAGATCAATCTCTTTAATTCTAGTGGCTATCCACACACTTCCGGCAGTTCTATTCCAGTTCTTGTGCTCTAAGCTATTTTTCGTTACTGTTGATCAACTTCCCAAGATATTATCAATAATATGGATAATATGAAATAGATTATTATTATTATTATTTAATTTTCATAATCTTTTTTTACCATATACTCCTGCAATCCTTTACTATTTATTAAGATCAAATATTATCAATATCAAAAAAATAATTTCTTGGATCGGTAACTAATTTTCCCAAGAATTGGCTCAAACAAGCGAGATACTCCCTCTATTTGTTATAATCTTTTTTGTTGGATTATGATATTAGATTAAATATAATTTAATTTAAATTATTTAAATATTTGTGTAAACTAAAAATTTTTTATTGAGTAATAAACTAAATTAAAAAATCTACAAAATATGAGGTCTCTCCAATTTATTTTATCAAATAATTATACAAAAAGTAGAAAATATAGACGTAAGTATAAATTTTTGTTGAACACACCACGAGTATTAATTTAATGAGTGATGCTTATATGATCCTGAGGTCCACATTTAAAATGTGGACCTTTTTCCATTTAAACTATGCCCACTTCTTCAATCCTATGAATACATTAAGGTCTATAAAATGAGTATATAGACCTTAGGTCCACGGAAGAATTTACATACTTTGACATGCATACTTCCTCCCTCCCATAATTAATAGTACAAATTTTCTCTCTTACATCTTAATAACTTTTGTTTACTTGTGTTATATCACTGATTATTTGATAAAATAAAATATTACTACCTCCGCCCCAGAGTATTTGTCCACTTTCATTTTTACACACCATCCAACATACTTCTTTAATCCATTTTATCTTGTAATTTGTATATTAAAAAATTATAGAATTTATATATTAATAATCTATATGTTAATAAGACAAATCAAACAAGATCACACATGACTATATTTAGGCTTACACATTGAGAGAATTTGATGAGTCAAAGTGCTTAGATAAACAGTTCCAAAAGTCAAAACTGGACAAATACTCCGGGACGGATGAAGTATTATCAATTTTAGTTTTGTAAAACATTTGGTATAATTTTTTAATATTTAAGTTTCATTTTTATTTTTTATTCCAAATTTTAAGTAAAACAATTTCAAATATATATATATATATATATATATATATATATATATATAAGGCAAAAATTATCAATTTTTAGTTGACTTTGGAGTAAAAATCTAACTCCTTGCTCCAACCGCACCTTACAAATTTTTAGTTGACTTTGGAGTAAAAATCTAACTTCGAAATCAACTAAATTTTATGGGGTGGAGGGTGGATTCAGATCAGGCCGGGTGAGAGGGTTTACCAAGAAGATTATTATCAATTTTTTGAACAGAACATTATAGTTGCTCCAATCGAGACCCATATCATAGGCTGACATGAGGGGCTAATGTCATCTAAGCTCCCATTTTATGATTCTAGAATTACACGTACGCTCTGTTTGGTACATGAAATTCCAGCTATATAATTGGAATTGAAGATAACAATTTTAATTCTGTTGTTTGGTAATACAAAAGTATGTGGATTTAGAATTGGTAGTGCCAAAAATGAATTGAAATTGGAGAATTCAATTCCATCAAAATCAATTCCAAAAAAAATTAATTCTAATTCCGCTAATTGCGTGTACCAAACAGATCCGTAATCTAATTTGAGAGGATGCACTTCATAAAGACTTTTCCGGACCCAATCAGACGATAATGGAGAGAAGGTAAAACTTAATCTAATTGGAGAGAGAAGAGAAGAGTAGAATTAAAAAATGGTGCATCATTTTTGGTTTAAAAGAACGGTAGGATTCTAGTGACACTCACTTTTGATGGCATTAGCAGTGCCACTATCATTTTGGAATACTTTAGTGCTTCATTCGTAAAATTACTAACCCACCCCGAAATCCCTACTCTATCCCACTCCAATTCTGCCCTAAGCAAGATGGAGGTGGGAGTGCACGAGCTGGGCTTTAGGGGTAAGATATGAGTATAAACTGTCAAAAGAGTGGAGCTAGTAATGCATTTTTTCCCATGTAGGCTAGGGTTTACGAGTTTTGGGTTTAACGCCACAAATCACACTGGCTGAGCTCAATTCATCGTCCCAATCGAGAAACTAGAATGAATCTGAAGCACTTCATCGTCAGAAGAACACTCAGATGCGTAAGGAAACTCAATAACAGTAGGGTTCCATCTGAACAGCCATACTTTTCTCGCAATTTCACCGCCTCTCCACCCCTCATATCCTCATTACTTTCTCCAAACCCTGGTATCAATGGCTTCTTCTGTGTTCAGCTCCTCGAATGCCCGAATCCCTTTTCGGGTTTCAGCTCTAGGTTCGTACACACAGCGAACGAAGCCAGTCTGACGGAATCAGAAACCCAGTCGGAGGACAGTGAAGATTCAACTACAAATGAGTTTCTATCGAGATTTGTTTGGGTAATGCGGAAGAAGCTGAATGAAATGTTTCCAGATGAGGGGAAGTGCACGATTGATGGGATGCTTCTCATCATTGTCGAGAAGGTTGCATCTGGGTTCAGAAAAGATGGGATTGACCAGAGTTTAGGCGAGGCGACTGATGCACCCGATCAAGATTTTAGCCCGGAATTATGGAGAACGGTTTTGGAGGTGAGTAATTCGGTTTTGGACGATATGCATAAAGCTACTAGGAAAGAGAAACTAAAGATGTTTCTTCAATCAGAGGAAGTGAAGGAAATGTATAGGTTTGCTGGAGAAATTGGCATTCGAGGTGATTTGCTGAGGGAGCTCAGGTTCAAGTGGGCACGCGAAAAGATGGAAGAGAGTGAATTTTATGAAGAGTTGGAGCGGTTAAGGGAAGAAGCAGCAGCAGCAAGGGCACTGGAAGAACAGAAATCAGAATCTGCGGCTGCAGAAAAGGGACTTGGTGGGGAGGATGTGGTTGAGGAATCACCATCCTCACCCAAGGTCGTGACACTCCCTAAGAGGCATGGTAAAGTTAACTACAAAATTTATGGGCTTGATTTGTCTGGCACTAAGTGGGCTGAGGTGGCCGATAAAGTTCATGCGGCAGAAGCCATTATTTCACCCCAGGAACTGAAGCCAATATTTGGGAAGTGCAAACTTGTTACAGAGAAAATTCTTTCGTTGCATTTGCAGGATGATCCTGCACCCCTCTTAGCTGAATGGGTTGAGTTGCTCCAACCCAGTAGGATAGATTGGCTAAGTTTGCTTGATAAGATAAATCAGCAGGATTCTCATTTATACTTCAAGGTATGTCCCCACCCTTATCATCCTACACACACAGTGTTCATCCGCTTAATGTGTTATCCTCTTCATGTTATGCAGTGCAAAACTTGCACTCCGGAGTATATCTCATTAATATTCTCCTTAATTGGGGTTTCCATGTGATTAGGCTGCGTATGTCCTGCTGATGGGACATTTTATGCCAGATGATTGATGAATACTATTTTGCTGATCATGATTGATATTGCCTATTCATTTTAAAAACTTTTCACTGCTCCGTAATGGCCATTTAGCTTTTAGGTCATTAGCTATCTTCTTGAATATTAAGAAATGAACAATAAAACAGCCCCCAAAAAGGCAGGGTAAGCTTGCTCACTGTTTTACATTTTGCACCGTACCACTTTTCTTATATTGCAAAATAAAATATTCAAAAATATTCAAAAATCACTCAGATTTATCTTCTCAAACCCTCATATTTGAAATGCATATCTCCTTCACTGGGTTTTATATTATGTGTGAGCCCTTATTGTCAATGGAGGTTATGGAGGTAAAAGAGTCATGTTTAACAATGTTTTAGCTTTGCATATATAAAGGACTATTTAAAAAGGACACATTAAAATTCATTCACTTCTTACTTTTGGTGAAGTTTTGGGCAGTGCATGCAGAAGTAAGTCAAAGGGTCTAACAGAAACCTCTCTTTTACTTACTTACAGGGTTAGGCTGCATATATATTGTGACCCCTAGACCCCAATAGAGTTGGGATTGTACTGGGTTTGTTGTTGTTGTTGTTGTGAGCCTTGTGCACAGTTCATGCTTTTTATACTCAGTTTCTATATTACTTTTCACATGTATAAGAATATTCACTGAGTCATACATGGATATGCAAGGCTGTTTAATTCACATACTCTTTGAATCCTAAGTGTTGATGGATAGGTAGTAGTCACTCTGTACTAATATCTAGCAGTACACCAATACTGTTCTAAGTGTTGTTTTTGGACAGTTTTCTTCCAGTACTTAGCATTTGATTAAATTTCCCTTTCTCTGATGACTTGCAATCTTTCATTTTGAATATTTGTAGTAGTCTTTGATCTCCATTTACACACATTTTTTTTCAATTGATGTATTAAGATTGCAGAAGATGTGCTTGGTGAAGTGTCATTCGAAGCAAATTTACATGATTACTGGAAACTTATTGATGCACATGCTAAAGGGAATCGATTCCAAGATGCTGAGAGAATTGTGAAAAAAATGTATGAAAAAGGGTTTGTACCTGATGTTCTTACATCATTAACTTTGGTTCGGATGTACTGCAAAACAAGGAATGTTGAGCAAGCAAACAAGACGTTTGAAGATCTTAGAGTTCTAGGATTCCAGCCAGATGCAAATATGTACAACTCCATGATAATGACCTATGTGAATGCAGGCAAACTATGGGAGGGCGAGAAACTCCTCAGGGATATGCAGATTAAGGAAATTGAACCCTCACAAGATATATATATTGCATTGCTGAGGTCATATGCTCAGTTCGGCGACTGCGATTCCGCTGTAAAAATATCTACTTTGATGCAGATGGCTGGTTTTCAGCCAAGTCCAGAGTCCCAAGCACTGCTCATCGAGGCATATGGAAAGGCTGGCAAGTATACCGAAGCTAGGAGAAGTTTTGATTACCTGTTGAGATTTAGACACAAGCCAGACGATAGATGTATATCTAGCATGATTGCGGTGTATGAGAAGGAAAATCAATTGCAACCAGCTTTGAATCTTCTGCTTAATCTTGAGAAGGATGGTATTGAGCCTGGAGTTGCTACCTACTCCGTTATGGTAGATTGGTTGAGTAAAATGCAGCTAATTGATGAAGCTGAGCAAATAGTGGATAAGATTGCTGGTATGGGTGAGGCACCTCCTTACAAAATTAATGTTAGTCTTTGTTCCATGTATGCAAGGGCTGGTGTCGAGAAGAAGGCTTTGCAAGCTCTCAGTGTTGTGGAGGCTAAGAAGGATCAATTGCAAAGGGAAGACTTCAATAGGATCATAGAGGGACTTGAATCCGGAGGGTTCATGAAAGACGCTCAAAGGATTCGCAGACTGAAGGAACTTAGAGGATGGCTCCATTGATCATTTTATCAATTGGCTAAGTCTAGCCTACTCGCAAGAATGTAAGCCTGGTGTGTCCTAAGGATCCTTATGCAATCTGCACAATTTTCAAGGCAAAAACTTCATGCCCTTATATACGACAAGTACATCAAGTTCATAGTTTGTTCTTAGAACTCTTTTTTCGGCTTACGTTGCCTTTGATGGTCAAGTGCCTGGGTTGATTTGAGATTTCAATCTGCACTGTTAAGTTCTTGCTGTATTTGTTGAATAATTTGCTAATTCAAATTTATTACTTTTGTACTGCAATAATGCACATATGTTTACAACAGCACCAACAATAACAACCCAGTAAAATCTCACAAAAGTAGGGTCTGTGGAGGTTGTGTGCACACAGACCTTACCCCTACCAGAGAGTAGAGAGGCTGTTTCCAAGAGACCCCCTGCTCAAGCAACACAAAGCAAATAACACAACAAGATCACAAAAGCAAACAGAGGATAATAAAATATGGAGTATGTCTTATGCTCCTATAGCATTTACTATTGTTATGCAATACCATTTACTATTGCATTTTGATCTTCTTTTCGGGGTGGCTTTACCACTTGAGAATGCTATACTTTCTCTTTGTATGGCAGCATCAGCTTCCTCCCTATTAGGTTTGATACTCGTTATACATTTGCTGTCTATTCTTTTTTTCCTTTTATTATTGCTCCACACCTTTGTTAATTACAAAAAAATATTTTTATTTTTTATATATATACATTCGGATTTTGGCCCTACATAATTGACAGTGGTATAGTGTAAGTCAAGTAAGATATCAAAACCTTAAGCAGTAAATATTAGGTACTGGGTAGTAAATCCTTAACACACAGTACACTACTAATATTTACACAAGAATATTGCTGGAGATTTTTTCTGTTTCCTTTTTTGGTATCTGCTTTGGGCAGTTTAGAATCCATGGGAATGGTAGTTGCCATCTTATATGAGTAGTGCATTAACAATGGTCTCCTTTGATGAAGTCATTCAGTTGCTTAACTTCTCCTCTCTGTTTTTTCCACTACTGGTAGGACAATCAATATCTATGACTGATGTCATGCCATATGCGATAGTCTTTGATCATAACACACAGTAAAGTTCTTCTACTCGTAACCATAGTTTTGTTCCACTTACTTCCCTTGCATAATAATTCCCCATCTGCCTTGTACTGTTTTTTTATGTGAATATGTACTACTCCGTATTACTGCCATTGCCTAACATGATCTGTGCAGCTTGTAAAATGTTTGTGCCAGATGTGACTGTTATCAACTTGCTCCGTTGCAACCACACAGGACTGCTAGGAGAAAATGAAGATGAAAAACACGTTTCCACGAGGGAACCTCCGATACAACGTGTTCAGTCATTATATCTCCAACTCTTGTGTATTTGGATGATCTCTCTTGCACAACCACCTTCCTCGGATGATCCGTTTCCCTCATAAATGTGTAGCTTCATCAGGTAAAGTTTATTTCGGTGCTTCCTTATTTTGGTGGTATTGTATGTTACGAGCGCACTTTTGAATTGGGAAAAATGGTTAATTCCATCTACATTTCTTAATTTTGGCCGAATTATCAAATGATTTCCGAGGTTTCTGAAAATCACAAATGAGCCCCTGCCTGCCAGATTTTCTGTGATTCTGTCTTTAAAATTGAAACAAGATAGGATATAATGATACAACCAAAATTGTGCCTTAAGACTAAATTTGGTGTTCTTACAGCAAGTTTTTTGGTCAAAATACTACAATACTTTTTTAAAAAAGGATCTTAGGGACAAACTAAATGCTGATAGTAATTTAGTGAAGGAACTCAGTTCCTACTAATATTGATTGCTATATCATTTCGTCTTTACGTGATGTAGAATTAATGAGAAGGATTATTTCCAACTTGTAGAAACCTTGAGATTTTGTTGGTAATTTGACCAAACCTTGGTGGGTAATCATAGATGGATGCAATTAACTCCAAAAGAACTTGGAGGGATTCCTACTTTTTTTCTGTGATGATTCTTGCTATATCAGTTGGTGGTCTCCTGTCAAGGAACCAACTTAACCAAAAGCTCAAGTTTGTGATTGTAGCGCAAGAAAGGTTATTTATATTCTAACACACTCCCTCACGTGCAAGCGTGGTTTTTTTCGAGCCTTGCACGTGAAATCTTAATTTTTTTTTTAAAACTGAGTGGCGCTGAGTTTCGAATTTGTGATTTTTTAGTCAACAAGGCTCTGATACATAGTCAAGAAACCAACTCAATCATAAGCAAAAGCTTGTGGTTGTGGCCCAAGAAAGGTTATTTATATTATAATAATTACAATAGTTAATGCGATGACAATGATGCTTAAATGTACTTAAATGATGACCTTTCTTGATTGCCATTGTGGCTTGTGTGTTTGTTCTTTGCTTGGATTACTAGGGTATGAAGAAGATTAAGTCCTAAATTTACCTGAAAAGTTAATCATCTTTTTGTTCTTTGCTTGGATTACTGGGCTAGGAAAACAGGGGAAGTGTGACTGGCCATATTTCTTTCACATGAGGGTTCTGATGTTTTTTTTCTAGCATTTTGACCGAAAAAAAAACATTTTTTTGGGCTACTAAAATGCTAATTAAAGGAATAAATTATGTAAAAGGTCCCCAGTTATATGTCGTTTTACATATTTAGTCCCTACATATCAAATATTACTAATTTAGTTCCTAATTAATATATTTATTTCCACGAATGGTCCTTTGTTAACATTTCCGTTAAGAACGTGGATAAAATTGTATATTCATACTTCTCTCTCCCCTCAATTAAGCTTTCTTCATCTTCTCATACTCTTTCCCAAACTTGTCGCTGAGTTTGAAGCTCTTAAACCCAAAATTTAAATGATCGTTCCTCCAGTTAGACAAACAATTGAGAGAAGAGTGATGATTTTGGTTTAGGATTCAAAGCTAGAAGCTCAGCGACGGGTTTGAGAAAGGAATAAAAGGGATGAGAAAGCTTAATTGAGGAGAGAAAGGAGTGTAAATTTATAATTTTATCCACGTTTTAATGAAAATGTTAACAAAGGACCATTAGTAGAAATAAATATAATAATTGGGGACCAAATTAGTAATATTTGATATGTAGGGACTAAATATGTAAAACGACCTTTAACTGGGGACCTTTTATGAAATTTACTCTAATTAAAGTGTTGGGTAAATGTGTGCTTTGAATAAGCAATATACGGAGGATAAAATGTTGATTTTGCGGCTATATGATAAATGCTATAGTACTCCATTGGTCCTAAATGTTGCTTTTCTTTGTATTGATCCCAAAACTTCTCATTTTTATTAAGAAAAACCGGTGTGATTTATATAATTATTTTATCAAATAAATCCCTGATTACATAATCTAACTACCTAAAAGCAAATGAAAAGAACATCTTGGGAGGGCTAGAGTAGTTACTCTTTCGGTCCCAAGTTAAATTATTTTTTCTATTATTCATAGAATTATATTTTAACCACTTTCTTTATACGGAGTATACTCCTGTTAATCCAATTAATAAAATAATATAGTCATGTCATTTTTGGATTGGTAGAAATTTTGATGTTTTTAAATATGTATACCCGAGTAAGTTTTAGTACTTTTTTAAATTTTACACCAATTTACAAATAAAATGAATTGAAAATAGTTTTTAATCCAACATCATAAACAACAATGTGTAATTTTCATTGGGACTAAGATCTTGTTCTCTTCAACTTATTCTTTTTATGTATTACTTATTTTTATTGGAATCAGATCATATTTATAAACAGCTTTCAGTATAGCTATAACCAGATTATATCAGAACTTAATCGATTCAGATCAGAACCAATCAGATAAGTTGAAGTGAACAAGCCTTAAAGAATATTATGCCTCATTGTTTCTTTATTTTTGTCTATTTTTATCTTTTTTTTCATCCATTTAGCATATACTCTGTATATTTCTACTTTCGCAAGATCTTACTGAATTATTTTTGCTTTTATAGTCCGTATCATATTGGGGAATATGAAATTCAGATTTATTTATTTATATTTCGTAACATGAATACAAATAACTTAAATGCACTTTTCTTTTCCTAGTTTGGCTGTCTCTGCCTATTATAAGCCTCTTAAGAAAGGATAAATACGGAGCAAAAAAGGGATACTTTTGGGGAGAGGGGAATGTGTGTTTGGTTGGTTGAGTAGGCTGTTGTGTCCCCAACGAAAGGGAAAGAAGCCCAAAGGTTTTACGCAAAACTTTCTTCTATTTGTCAATTGTCTTATGCATGAGATGGATTGCTGCTGTATATAAATTGCATTTTGCCTCTTTCTATCAACATAAACAAACCCCCTTTGGCCTATAAAAGAAAACCAACACTTGTGCCTCACAAATATTCATTCAAATACCCTACCATCATTGAAATGGCGTCTTGGTTCCCTTTTGGACGTCAAAGACGTCAAGCCCCGCCGCCCCCAGTTCAGCCCTCCGTTACCGGAGGAAGCCAGACTGAACAGTCTGCCACCGCCTCTCCAAGGAGGCCACCGTTTAGGCCTGCAGGGGCCGCTCCGCCACAAGCACCCCTTTCCCCCAGTCGTAAGCCACCATCCCGGGCAGCTTCACGGCCCCCGACCCCGTCCCGCAATGGCAAGGGGACTCCTCCTCTCTCCCCATCACGTTTGGTGGAAACATCTCCACCACCACCAAAGGTGGAGAACATTCCTCCGCAGCAGCCGTCTAACGAGAGAGCACTTGAAGAAGAACCAGTTTTGATGGAGGAAAAGGAGGCGGCTCCAGAAATCCGACCACCGCCACCTGCCGGAGACATCCATGAATCAAAACTTCAGCCACCTGAGATGACCAAGCAGTCCTCAGAAACCACTCTCCTCGAACCCACCAGACAATCCTCAGAAATCCTCCATGAACCAACTAAACAGTCCTCAGAAATCCTTCCCTCAGAGACCATCCTCCGTGAACCGGCCAAACAGTCCTCAGAGACCACCCTCCTTGAACCGACCAAACAGCCCTTAGAAATCCCCCCGAGCAAATTGTCCTCGGAAACCACTTCCATCGAGCCACAAAGTTCTGATCCTCTATTAATGGGAAACAACAAGGAAGGAGACCCACAACCAACAACAACAAAGTCGTCCGAACCAGAGAAGGAACAAGAGGCGACGACCAAGCAACACACAACGATTTATTCCGGTGAACATCAAACCATCAAAACAGTGGTTGCCGAAACGTCCAAAGACAAAGACGGTCGCCGCTGCCACCGTGGGGAGTTATTAGCTCAGAACAGAGCAGCTGCCGTTAAAGAGGTGGCGGTGGCGATTAATGTGATTATAACCCTCACCGGCGAGAACAAAGGGGCTATCATGCAGCTCGGCCGCCCGTCCAATGAGAAGCCCATTCACATCCACAGAGCCTACAAACCGAGTCAACCCGTTGTTGACCGGCCAACTAAAGAAGAAGACGACAGGGAAGCGGCCAGTGCTTCGTACGTCGTCAACTCCAACGTCCAAGGAGTCAACAACTCAATCCTCGTGGACAGCCACGTCAGAGAGATGGATCCCGGCGTGAGTGTCGGAATCCCACGTTTTCCGGCAGAAGATCACGGGAAACAAAGCGACCAAAAACCTCTTCAAGAAACTCGTGATGGCAAGCAGAGAATCAGGCGGAGATGCCTCAGAGGGCTTTTCATGGAGCCCAGCGATTCTGATTCCGATAATAACAACCCCGAAAAGCCTCGCCGCCGCCGCCATGGGTGTCGTGTTCCTTGCAACGACGTGTTATAATAACAAGGAGTACGTAACCCTACTGGTTTTCGGTTCTTTTTAACTTCATTATGATTTTTTTGATAGTTTCAAAAATGAATGAATATTGACATGAATCATATCTATATTCATTCAGTTTTTGATATATTATTAAAAAAATCATAATGATGAGTTAAACACTGATAAAAATGAATGGATCAACTGTGGAATAATTACAAGAATGACTAGGTAGTGTGTAGTGTCCATGGCCATAGCCCATGAGTCATGAATATATGTATGTATATATGTCCATATCTTATTTGCTATGAACTCGTGCATGCCAAATTGTATTTAAAAACTGGGGAGAGATCTCACTTTTTATTGTCATTTGTACATTATAAACAAGGACTCGAATGTAAAATGTGGCAAACTATTCCAATATATTGAGTACTACACGTTGAATGTCCCCAACGTATGAATAGACAAAAATTGACCCAATTTATTTTTTATTTGAAATTCCACCTGAAAATAATGAGTTTTGGCGAGAGATTTTGTTAATTGAATGCGGAATGACCCGTTGCAATGGATAAACACGACCTAATTTTTTTTCCCTTCAAATTCATGTACTTTAATACGTAGTACTCCCTCCGTCTCAGTGTATTTGTCCAATTTGACTTTTTCAAGTCAAACTGGACAAACTTTGAACTCTAATTATTCTCAATTTATATTGCATATTAGCATTATGAAATACAATTTTGATAGTTCTCAATACAATAAATCTAATAAAATCATTTTTATGTTAAAATACATTATGATTTTTATTTAATTGAAGCTCAAATATTGTCCAGTTTGTCTCGAAAAAATCAAACTGGACAAATACACTGAGACGAAGGGAGTATGAAATATAATATGAAAAGAATAATACTCGGTATTATAATGTTTTTTTCCATATTACTCTTTCTCGTGTAAATTTATTTTTTCAATCTAGATTTTAATGATGTCGTATTGTTATCTTATTTTTTCAAAAAAATGTATATGTTGTTGTAAAAATCTAAAGTTATTTGTAAATTCAAAATAAAATATGGTAACAGCTTTAATACACATTTTGATACTTGTACTTTAACTCGTTGGGTCGGCTCGAAGCCTTGAACTCAACAACACAAGATCATGAATATGCAGCTTTTAATTCAAACCCGAAATCAAAGTGACCATGAAAGAAAGAAAACTCGAACCAACGAGTTTTGCAAGTTCTACCAACATGTAATTGAAACGAGTACCCACGTGCTACAAAATTGTGTCACTGAGATGTATTTTTAGAGAGGTTTTCTCATTTTTCCTTTTTCATCCATTCTAAAATAATTATTCCACTTATTCTCTTTACTTTTTGGAGACCAATATTTGATCCAAAATATTTCTCCCTTTGTATACAAATTCTGAAATTCTAACTACACATTTTAAACCTTTAATTTTTTTTCAATATTTTTCTTGATGTCAAAATGAGAAAAATAATTTTGAACGGTGAGCTTCATCTTCTTCAATTCTCTCCATTAATATGGAGTATCATTTTTTTATTTTTTAAAACTCCGTAACGGACAACTTAAAATGAGTCGGGGAGAGTAATAAATAATATAACAACCATGCTAGAGGTACACAAAAAATGTAACCCAAATTGTACCCCAAAGAAATGCACCGACATTTTAATAGTTCACACTGGCAGAAAATTTAAAATCACTTTAAAAAAATTGCACTGATATTTTTTGTCAATGTAAATCATCACACTAATATCACAGTAGCACAAAATGTCGTGTATGACTTTGGGATACAAAATGAGGTTTGGTGTACAAATCCCTTAATCCATAATATAAAGCCCAAACTGGATTCTTCTGAGCAAGTCTGCATGCAAAAACTGTGGGCGCTATATGTCTATCCAAAATGCTTAAAAAGGCATTTCCTTCATATTATTGACAGAACAGACCCCTTTCTGGATAGGGTAACCAGATAAGATTAAAAACTCACAACTACCTAAGCTGCTGCCTCCCCCCATTCTCCTATATAACAGAAGAAAAACACAAATACCTCATCATATCTTCAAATCAAATACCAGAAGAAAAAGAAAGAAAAACACCATTTTTAAAGGTTCATTCTAGAGAGAAAAAAGATGGGTTCTCTCATGGCAGGTTGGGATTCACCTCTTTCTTCTGATCCTAAAGCTGGTAAGAAGCTCTTCAGCTTCAATTGGTTGGGTTTCACATTTTCTTTTTTGTATCTATTTCAAAAAAAGAAGCTCCATTTTTCTTTCAAGGAATGAATCATCTGCATAAAGGTTTGGAATTTTCAGTGATGTTTCAGAGAAACAAGTCCTTAACAAAGGAGGAAGTGGATGGGTATTGGAGATTAAAGAAGAAGAAGCAGGAGGAGGATGAGAAGAAAGAGCAGTGCCCAAGATCAAGTTCAGCTGGTAGTGCCCAGATGAAGGAGGACATTCTTCTTGACACAGGAACAGTCAGTGAAACCAGTTCTTTGGAGAAACTTATCCACACACATGGCTGGTGATTAATATATATACTCTCCTATACACTTTGGGCTACATTTACTGTCATTCTTTTAACTGACATGGATACTTTTGTGTGTGTGTGTGTAGGTGGGTAAGTAGCAATTGGGCACATCTAAACGAACCACCGCCGGAGGAGGGAGATTACAAGTACATTTCGCAGTTTCATGTGGCAAACAGGGCAGCCAACGACGACTCAAATCGCCATCATGCCGGAATCAGCCACCCATGAAACCACACCACCGCCACGGCGCCACCACCTTCTTTTGTTTTTGTTTTTTGTTTTTTTGGGGGGTTTTTAAAGTAATGAACAATCACAACAAGCACTTGTACATAAGAATAAATATAAACATGCAAACCATGTATTATAAAATCACAGAGTACTAAAGGGCTATCTTTCAGGTTGAAATTAAGAAACACTAACCGGAAGTTTTCCCAAGAGAGAAGATATCCCTGTGGTAATGTAATCTGGCATTGGCCATTCAAACTGCCTTCAAAAGCTTTTGTGCTCTCTGTTTTTTGTGTTGTTCACTTTTCTCTTTATGCTCATTTATCTAAAGATAATCTGGAGTATTTACAAGGCATATTGAAAAGAGAGAACAAAGAAAAACAAAAGAAGATTCACCTATTCCAAAACACTATAATATGTGCCATATATGTGCATCTGACTTAGTTTCATGAGAAAACAACACATTAATGCTTCAGTACAACTCACCCATACCACAAAAAAAGAAAGAAAGAAAAAAAGAAAGAAAAAAAGAAGAAGCATTGATGATCTAAATTCAAACCTTAAAAACAACAAAATATAATGAGTACTGGCAAATTTCAATCCCTTGATGAGCCACTATTGCTTGCAGCAGATTTCTTCCGAGTGTATCTCTGTCATAATTCACTGCTTCATTAGGCATTCAGTTCAACAAAGAGGAAATGAGAAAGAAAAGGAAAAAATAAAAAAGAACACAGCAAAGAAAAATCTATTAACCCTTGAAGGAAACAAGAGATCTCACCAGTTTTCCATAGCCAAAGGGCACATACTTGTACTTGATCATGTGCGTTATCTGGCGTTTCATGGTGAGAACGAAAAGCACAATCCAATAACAAAGCAATATTGGCCAGAAGACCGGAACGTCAAACACTGAACAGAAGGTCATGAAAAACGCTACAACGAATGCCTTTGTGGTTGCATACCTGAAATTGTAGCATAGAAAAGAAGAGCGAATAAGCAAATAACCTTTTGAAGAAGGGACAACATCTTATTTAGGTAAGAACAAGTACAGTTAGAACATCCCAGTCTAGTACACTACTCTATATGAACCACACCCACAAATCTGTATTTCGTTAGCAGTAAGCATCATAAGAACCATATAGCACTCGGCTATGTAGCTTAGCTTTCCTTGGCATCTCCCCCAAGCAAGATAAACCCAAACATGAGAAAATAGCTTATGCTCCTTCATATAATCAAAGATAAACCCAAACATGAGAAAACAAGCATTTCCCTGACCTTTCCCATGATCCAAGCATACCCTTAAAGAGAGTATGCAGGAAAACAAGTGAAACTAAACCTAGTGAAGCAAAAACCCAATGAATTTGGAAGCTTTATCATAATATAACACTGCAACATGATCAAGAATGGACTCACCACAGCAGGAACTCAGGGAGACGGCGAACAAACGGCTTATACTCATCAGAATCTCTGGTGTGACCATCCAGAGCTTCAAGTTCAGGATCATATTTCGGGGACAGGAACCCAATCAGCAGATTCAAGAGATAGGTTCCAACACCATATGATATAATATGAAAGCCACGGACACAGTAAACTCGAAGCACATAAACGGACGCAGCAGCTAGGGTTCCCATCCACCTCTCAGCCGTATAAGGAACAGATCTGTCCAAGTAGTACTGAAACCTCCCGGAAAACTCCCTTCTCCACTTCACCAGTGAGGCCACTGACGAGCTCCCACTCTCATCTGCCCCACCCCCTTCCATTACTCTTTTCTTTCTTCTTCAACCTTCTGCAACAATCTCTGCGGATGAAAATCAGGGATTCTTGCAACTCCAGTAATGAATTGAATCATTCACCCACGAAATAAACAAAATAACAGCAAGAAATCGCTCAAAAGCATTCATTCAAGAACGGAGGGAGGGAGGGGAAGAAGAGAATCAACATTTCAGTTTTCTCCGAGGATTTGGGCCAGTTTTGGGAATAAACTGATGGAGTGGATAATAATCCCACACCGATTAGATAGCGTAAAGGCAAGGGGGTGAATCCATTATAAAAAGGAGAGGCGGATAGGCCTTTGAAAACCATCTTTGCGCTTGGGGCAATGACGCAGCTAGTGAGGTAATAACCGAGGCGCGTCTATTGCTGGTTGAAAACTATTTCCAAACCCCCTCTCTGGCTTGGGTTCGTCCTAAGCCTTTGAGAATTTTTGGAAGGGTTTCTATTTTTGAAGCCCTACAAATTGATTATTCTAAAATTTTGTCAGTCTCAAATTGCTGTCAGGAACTAGAAAAGATACGTTTTACTCTTTCTGTTTTATATAACTCTTTTTCTTTTGTTTATTTTTGTTTTTTATAAAACATTTTTATTTTCTATTAAAAATTTACTTTTGCTTTTATTTTTTCATACTCTATTTAATAATCAAATTATTTTATCTTACTTTTTTCCCAAAATCAAAACCAGAAGAGTTTTGTGGAATGAGAGAGTAATATTATGTGGTTGACTAACACGTTCATATCCGTATATAAAGAGATCTTTTAATGTGGTGCCTTAATAATTTTCAACTAATTGGTTTGTAAAATAGGTACTGAAAAATTTCTAATTATAATGACCGAAATATATGTATACAAATATACTTCATCCGTCCCCAATTAGATTATAATTTCTTTTCTCTCCTTTCGATAACTTTTGTTTGTTTATTTCATTACGTATTTGATAAAATAAAATATTCTTGTCACCTCTAGTTTTTTGTAAACTTTTTGACATAGTTTTTTAAAATGTAATTTTTATTTCTTATTAATATTCGAATTTGTAAATAAAATGATTTCAAAAAGTGAAATATTTCTCCTCGTAAACCCCAATGTTATATAATTTTGGGGTTGGAGGGAGTATATAATTTTGCACTTTGTCTCATAAACTCAATGTTTTGACTTATTTAGTTGAACATTCACACATTTTTACCAAAAAATAAATACTCCCTCCGTCCCTTTAAACATGAGATGTTTTGATTTTGAAAAGATTTAAGAAAAGTGTATTTTGGTATTAAATTTCCAAAAATGTCCTTTGATGTGATGGGTAAAAATAGGATTTGATGGGTAAATTATTAGTAAAAAGGTATGATGTGATAGGTAGAGTATTTTTGGGACGGATGAAAAAAGAAAATTTAAATAAATAAATGTTAAATAAATTTGTTGTGTTGTCAAAAAAATTGATACTCCGCATAACATAATTATATCTTAACATGAAGCCAATTATAATGGTCTTACATCATAATTAAATATACCTTTTTTTATAATTGATGGTCAAAGGGTATAATTGTTCGACTAAAAAAATCAAAACAAATATTTTTTCAGATGTGAGTATTTTAAAAAATATTTTTGTTTTAATACAACCATTTAGGATGGTAATTACTCCGTATATTTCAACAGTCCGGAATTAGACCGGGACCGAAACGGCTGGTTCCGCAACCAACCCCCCGAAAAAAATAGAAAAAAAGCTAAGGACAATTCCCTTCGTTTATTACCAGAATTCCTTCATTTTTAATTTGACTTGCTCTTTCCTTTCTCTCCGTAACCCTTCTTCTTCCCAAGTTATTCTTCTTCACTTAAATCGCTGTTTATACATTTTAAAAGTAAACCTAAATTTCTTTAAAACAAAAAGTGTCCTTAAATCAAAATGTACAATTTGAAATGGTATAGAAGTATGGGAATGCACGATAATAGATGCCATAGACCAAGGTTTACCTGCAAGGTGGGCATAAACATTTAGGGAACCAGAATCAGATGTGGTTGGAGCTCTATCCATCATTAACTTCATCATTTCCTGAGCAACATGTTGAACAAACATAGGATTGTTTTGAAAACTGTGATTCTCACTCTTATGATTGGTAATGTCATCAAGATGCGTATCAGTCTGAATATCTTGTCCTTGTGCCATGGTATGTGCTGCAAATTTGTTTCCTCCATAGGTGTTCTTCCCTCTTTTCCCTTTGGGACCCTTGTACCAATCTGGATAACCAACCAGTTTGAAGCATTGGTCCTTAAAATGACCAACCTCCTTACAATAATCACAGAACTTTCTACTGCTTCTCTTGGGATCAAATTTGTTGAAATTATTTTGTTTTTGCCCCTTGTTGACATACATGACCAGGTTCTGTGCTTCTATGCCTTCATTTGTAGCTAAGGTCGCCATCTCAGTACTGATTCCTTGGATTCCAGTGATAGATTTTTGTCTCTCAACTTCTTGTATCAGGCTGCATGCTTTACTAGCTGAGGGGAGAGGATCCCAAAGCAAAATCTGTCCTCTTACTGTATCAAAACCTTCATTCAGCCCCATTAAGAACTTAACTAGTTTCCTTCTTTGTTCTGCTTTTAGGGCTTTCTTCTTAGCATCACAAGTGCAACCATTGCAAGTGCACACAGATGGATCACTGAGATTGTTTAGTTCATCCCAAAGTTTCTTCAATTTTGTGTAATAAGCCCCAATAGGTTCATTATTTTGCCTAATATGAGCAATTTTCTTCTCAACCTGGTAGATTAAAGGTTCATTGCTTTCACCAAACCGTTCCAGTAACTCGTCCCACAATTCTTGCGAGGAGTTCGCGTACAGGAAGGCCTCAGCCAGATCAGGTTGGATTGAATTCAATATCCAACTAAAGACCACGCTATCGCACCTCTCACATTGTGCGTAGTTGGGAGATTCTGCATCTGGTTTTGAACAAGTTCCATCAATGAAGCCAATCTTCATCTTCGAGATCAACGAGATTTTGATTGATCTGCTCCATGGAATGAAATTCATTCCATTCAATTTTGTTGTGGTGAGAACCATCCCCGGATGATCCGAATTGTGGAGGAACAGCGGATCGTGCAGGTATGCCTGTTCATTGGGATTCACCATTGTTCAGTAGCTTTTGCACAGGATCCTTTAGCACTCCGATACCATGAAAACCCTAGATATGTGGAGAAGAAGATAACACAGAGGCAAAATGAAGAAGAAAACTATTCATCATCATCATCATCCACCATACACACGATTACATCTGAGTATATAAAGGGAGAGGCTAAACAGACTAAACAAACTAACATTTCGTGATCTACGTAACAAACTAAACTTGGTGACCAAGTTTGAACACATCAGCTAATATATTCTACAAAGTGATATGATTATTATTTTACAAAATCTCCACTACAAATACATATAGAAAATGAATGGTTGTGAAAATGAATAGATACTCTGTACTATAGTTTTTTATTTTTATCAGGATTTTATAAACTAAGTTAACTAAATTAATTAAAATAGCACATTCATTTAAAAAAATATGGAAGCACATCTAAAAAGGTAATTTCCACTACAATTTTATGTTTACAAATATCTAAATTTCTAACAATTTTTTTAATTAACAACTAAAATTATCAAGTACTCAAAATTACTAATTCAACCAGTCATTTAATAAAAGAGTGCATTTATAGTGCAATAAAAAAATATTCCAAATTTACCAATCCCCAAAGAAGACGAATGACTTTTTTTCCCATCTCATGAGTCTTTGAATTTTCAAAAACGACCTTGTGCACACTCCTTAGTCCTTATTCAATAATTCTCCATTCCATTCTATTAAATAGCAGCACAATATAAGGCTGCATTGCCGATGTGGGATGAACAAGTCAACACGCCCCCCTCACACGAGGGGCAGATTACTGCGAGTGCAATCCCAACATCAATGACTTAGCTCTGATACCATGTTGAAACAATAGACGGGCTGCATTGCCGATGTGGGATGAACAAGTCAACATGCCCCCCTCACACGAGGTGAGGATTATTGCGGATGCGGTCTTAACATCAATGACTTAGCTCTGATACCATATTGAAACAATAGACTTGGGCCCAATTCAATCCCAAAAGTTAACTCAAAAGATTGAGGTACTCAAGCTATTAAATAGCAGCACAATATAAGGCTGCATTGCCGATGTGGGATGAACAAGTCAAAACATTCCCACTCTTTTTTTTTGCAAAAGTGAAAGTGTAAAAAATTAATTGTCAAAGAGACGTGAGAGAATGCCATTTAGAGGACAAAATATTTTTTTTTCCGTTGATACAATATGATACTTTCTAGAACTGCAATTATAATTGTTTCAATATTTTCATTCTAGTTATTAGAATACTTCTTTGAGATAAAATTTACTAGTTTTTTTAGTCATTAAATATTTCCTTTATACTCTTTCCGTTCCTAAATTTTTTTTCTGATGTTACTTTTTTTTTATATTAAAGAGTAGCACTCTTTGACTACAAATTGTTAGAAAAGTATATTAAATTATAATATAAATTCAATATATTTGGGTTTATCTTAGGATATAGTTTTGATATATCAAATTTTTATAACATTTATTTATTTAGATTATATTTAATTTATTATCAAAAAGTGTCACTGGCTAAAAAAAATCAAAATAGGAATATTTTTTAGGAACAAGGCAATAAAAAAATTTCGGGGGGCGCTGCCCATCGCCCCCATACACTACTATTGGCCCCTCCAAGCATTGAGCCCTAGCTCTGCCATTGGTGAGAACAAACACTAGAAATAGAGAACTAGATTTTTGTTGCACGACAAACGAGACAGAGATTAAGTTTGTTAAATTTTTTCTTGGGAAAAGTTTTAGCGATTAGAGTGAGTGTGAAAACTTTCTTTTTTTTCACCTTGGTTGTCTTTCTATGCTTCTCTACAATTTCATGATCAAGACATTAAAGAAAGGAAACAAAAATGAATACTCTCTCCCTTCTAAAATGATTTACTTTATTTAAACTACGCAAAGAATCTCATAACTTTTTAAAATGATTTATTTACAAATTAGTATAAAATTAAAAATTATATATTTAAGAATTACATCAAATATTTTACAAAAAAGAGATGACAAAGATATCTTATTCTAACAAATAATCAATGAAATTATCAAAAGATAACAAATTATGGAAAAACAAAAAGTTTACAATAGACCAGCTAAAAAGACGGCGAAGTAATCGACAGTAGCCTTGAAAATCTTACCAAAGTGAAATTATAATGTACTCCCTCCGTCCTATAATGTTCTTCCCGGTCCTGTTTACGAAGTTTGACCGACTTTATTTTTAATTCAATTTATTTGACCGTAGGTGTAAAATTAAAAAATAAAATTTATATATTTAAAAACTAAATCAAAAGTTCTACAAAATAAGTGGTGACAAGACTATATTATTTTATCAAATACCTAATGAAAATAGGTAAAGAAAGTGATTAAAGTTTGACCGTGTGAATAGTAAGTGGGAAGAACATTTCAAGACAGAGTGAATAACCGATTGCGTTTGTTTCTATTGCAAAATTGTCTACATACTTCCTTTTTATTCCATAGAAGATTTGACTTTTTAAGTTTGGAAAAATACAATCATATGTTAAAAAGTCATGTAAGATATGAAAATTGAAAAAAAAACAACACAGACTAAATAAATTATTAGAAATATAACTTTTTTTTGCACCTATTCGGGTCGGGGTGGGGGATTATTGGTGAAATTAGGGGTATAAATTATCAATTTTTCAAATAGAACATCGTACGATTCTAGATGATCTCATGACATTGGACCATGGTTCATCTCATGACATTGCCTAGCAATATCATGGAACCGCCCCATCTTTTTACCCACGGCACGATATAACTTTTAAACGAATTACATATGCAGTATGTTGAATTTTCACACGGTACGACTTGAATTCGAAAAAAGATACTCCCTCCGTCCCACTGTCTTTGTCCACTTACCTTTTGGCACATCATCCAATGCACTTCTTTAATCCATTTTATCTTGTAATTTGTATATTAAAAAATTATAAAAATTATATTAATAATCTACTCCCTCCGTCCCATGAAACCTTTCTCCTTTCTTTTTTTATCCGTCCCACAAAACACTTCTCATTTCTATTAAAAAGTCACTTTTACCCCTTACTTTTTCATACCCTATCTATCACATCACACTTTTTTACTAATAATCTATCCATCAAATCATACTTTTACCCATCACATCAAAGGACTTTTTGGAAATTCAATACCAAAATACACTCCCCTTAAATCTCTCCTAAAAAGTAAAAGTCCCATGTTTTATGGGACGGAGGGAGTATATGTTAAGACGAATCAAACAAGATCACACATGACTATTTTTAGGCTTACACATTGTGAGAATTTGATGAGTCAAAGTGTTTAGATGAACAGTTCCAAAAGTCAAAAGTAGACAAAGACAATGAGACGGAGGTAGTAAATGTAGAAAATTATTAGTAATAATAATTAACTACCCTTTCATTACAATATAAAAAGCGTGGGGGAGGGGTGCACCCCATGAAATAAATTATTTATTTAAAGAAACAATAACTTTGGTAGTTGCGTTTAGTACTCCCACAGTCCCACCATTAATTAGGTCTCTTTGGTAAAAGCGTTACCGATAAACACTAGCGTTTTAAAAAAGTTATTTTTGAGCAGCGTTTAACATTAGCGTTGTCAAAGTAATCTTCACCGTTAAAATTTTATCCAAAACGCTAACGCTAATCTCTAACGCTATTCCCAAACAGACCTAATTGAAGTATAAATATAATAAATCCTCCATTTTAATACTCCCTAGTCCCTACTATATAATAATTTGAGTCGTGCTAAAGTCATAAATTAAGCATCACAAAATGCAAAAACCTATCAAATATGTATAATAATAGTTTCAAATAATTAAAAAATAAAAAATTTAAATTCACATATGATAAATTTGTGTATTTTGTTAGTTTTTTATTTGTGACTCTAACATTACTCATAATGATCAGTTAAGAAAAAGCTTATAAGGGGATTAATTAAAAAAGATACTCCCTGGTTTTAGAAACATTTCTTGCTTTGATTTTTTTGTCAAACAGTGATGCACTCTGACTACAAATTATGAGAAAAATATACTTAATTATAATATAAATTTAATATAATTAGATTAATCTTAGGATACAGTTTTATATGAAATTTTTATATCATTTATTTATTTAGATTATGTTTAGTTTATGATCAAAGAGTATCACTGTTTGACTAAAAAACCAAAACATGAAAAATTTTTAGGATAAGAGGAAGTATTAAAGAAGATGAAACAATGGTGACATAATTATATTATTTTATCCAATAAAAAACAAAAATAATTAAATCAATAAAATGAATAAAATTTCACCATGTAAATAGTAAACGAAAAATTAATTCTTAGACGGAGGGATATCTTTTACCCACCACAAGGTAAAAAATTTTAAACATATTACTTACAAAGAATAATTTTGACTTTTCACGCGGTACGACTTGGTTTCGAAAAAAGATAATTGTAGAAAATTCTTGGTTTCGAAAAAAAGATACTCCGTAAATGTAGAAAATTATTATTCGTAATAATTACTCCATCCGTTTGGAAAAACCCTTCCCATTTGATTTGGGGGCAAAAATAAGGAAGTGTTAAATTATAGTTGATTTCCAATTTTGCCCCTGATGTGATGGGTAAAAGTAAGATGTGATGGATAGATTATTAGAGAAAAAGTATGATGTGATAGGTAGGGTAGGAAAAAGTAAGGGTAAAAGTGGTTTTTTAATAGAAAGGGGAAGTGTTTTGTTGGAAGTGGAAAAAATGAAAGAGGAAGTGTTTTTTAGAACGGAGGGAGTACAATATAAAGCGTGGGGGGGCATCAATTAAATTACTCCCTCTGTCCCAAAAAGTCTTTCCTATTTCATTTTTTGCACATCCCATAAAATACTTCTACAGACATCTAAAATGCCTAAAATTTACAACATTTTTTTCTTATTGTGGGTAGAAGTTATTTTGAAAGTCTTTTTGACATTCAAGGCGGGATAGAGGTGTTTTATGGGATGCGCAAAAAATGAAATAGGAAAGATTTTTTGGGACGGAGGGAGTACTTATTTATTTAAGGAAACGATAACTTCCCTAGCAGCGTAGTAATTCCACCATTAATTAATTGAAATAAAAATATTAGAAATTAACCCTCCATTATATAATACGGAGTAATAACAACCAGTTTAATTAGAAGAAGTTAATAAGCTTCTAAGGGGGGGATTAATTAAAAAAAAAAATTAAAGAAGATGAAGGAGTGCAGCAGGGGTGGGGTGTCTGTAATATATCTTGTGGTCTTAATATTATTATTAGGTTTGGGAGTGGGAGAGGGCAAAGGGTATAATAGTAATAACGGAGGAGAAGATGGGATGGTGAAGATCAATGGGACCCAGATGAGGTTGAATGGGAGCCCATTTTATTGGAATGGTTTCAATGCTTACTGGTTAATGGTAATGGCGGCCTACGACGACCCTACAAAAGTGAGGACTGTATTCGAACAGGCCAGAAGCCATGGCCTAACTGTTGCTAGGACTTGGGCTTTCAGTGATGGTGGAGACCTTCCACTGCAGATCTCACCTGGTGTTTACAATGAAACCATGTTTCAGGTTTTTTTTTATTATTTATTTCTTTATCAGCATATGTATAGGAAAGAACATTCTAGGACGGAGGGGCATACAATTTTATTCGGTTGTCATTATTAGTAAGTTTATTAAGAGCATATACTACTCTGCGGGCGTAAGGGTAAGGACTCCGTACACGCACTCCCATTATAGGACGACCCTACGATACTTCGTGAGGGATTCCTTCAGGTTTGTTGTTGTTGTTGTTGTTCGGGAAGGATGGTGGAATAAGAAAAAGAATCTTATTAAGGCGGCATTAATACCATATATGGACCAAAAGCATAGATATACATTCAATTCATGTTATTATCAATATAATTAATTTGGTGCAATGTTGTAATGAAGGCGCTGGATTACGTGATGTCGGAGGCCGGAAATCAGTCGATAAAGCTGGTCTTAAGCTTGGTAAACAATTGGGGTCCTTACGGAGGCAAACAACAATATGTGAATTGGGTTCACCCTAATAACTCCACCGCCGATCTATTCTTCAATGATTCTCGAGTCAAACAACTCTACCAGAACCACATCAAGGTAAACTAACGTTATTACCATAAAAAGAAAAGAAAAAAAAAACTACATAACCGACATTATATTACACATTAGGGTTGGTCTGGAAAATTAAATACAATAACATATCTATTTCTATATTGATTATTTCAAGAGCTTAATTTATTTATAATCTCCGCCGGTTGAATAATAACGTTATATGTATAGGCTGTTCTTACGAGGAACAACAGCATAAGTGGGGTGATGTACAAGGACGACCCCACCATTATGGCTTGGGAGCTCATTAATGAACCCAGATGCCAGTCTGATTTATCAGGAAGCACCTTTCAAGTATGTTTTTTGTTTTTTAATTTTTTTAATTTAGGAGATTCTTATACTCCCCTGTTCCTTAAAACCATTCTCATTTTGACTTTGAGCCAAAATAAGAAAAGTGTAATTTTGGTTGACTTTCGAATTTTGCCCATGATATGATGGGTAAAAGTAAGATGTGATAGTTTGGTTATTAGTGAAAAAGTATGATGTGATATGTAGGGTATGAAAAAGTATGAGTAAGAGTGGTTTTTTAATAAAAAGTGGAAGTGTTTTAGGAAATTAGGAAAAAACGAAAGGGAAAAAGTTTTACGGAACGGGGGAAGTACATTTTTAAATAAGACTGCTCAAAACCTATGTATTGTTTTACATATCCTTGAAATTAATACTCTCTCTGTTCCTTTAAACACTTCCTATTTTGACTTTAGGCCAAAATAAGGAAAATTTAATTTTGGTTGACTTTCCAATTTTGCCCTGATGTGATGAGTAAAAATAAGATATGATAGTTTGGTTACTAGTAAAAAAGTATGATGTGATAGGTAGGGTATGAAAAAGTATGAGTAAGAGTGGTTTTTTAATATAAAGTGGAAGTGTTTTAGGGAATTGGAAAAAAACAAAAGAAGAAGAGTTTTATAGAACGGAGAGAGTATTCCTCATTTCCTCCCATGTTTATTTAAACAATCAAATCAATTACGTAATTCAACTCAAACGTTTATATATCCATTATTTTCTTCTCACATTTCCGATGTGGGATACTCTTTAATAAAACATGTTTTAATATGAATTTGAAGGATTGGATCAAAGAAATGGCTGCTTTCTTGAAAGGCATTGATAAGAAACATCTTCTAGAAATTGGACTCGAGGGCTTTTATGGCAAAGCAGATGACGCCAAAAATCAAGCAGGGGCTAATGGCACATTTCAATATGGGACTGACTTCATTTCTAACAATCAAATTCCCGATATCGATTTCGCAACTGTTCATGTATATCCAGATGATTGGTATGAAATTCCAACTTTAATGCCACTCTTTTCCTAATTTAAGTTGTTTGTTTATACCAAAGTAGGAGTAAAACATTGAAAATATACCAAAATATGATTTTTCATGTTTTTATTCTCGAAATAGGACTTAAAACGCATTTACATTACCAAACATGGTCATGTACATTACCAAAAAGTATAGTAATGTGCACGTGTACAGTGCTACATCACCACAGTGCGAAGTCCTATTTCGAAAAAAAACATGAAAGTCCTGTTTTGATACTTTTTTCTATGTTTTAGTCCTATTTAGGGTGATTTGTATTTGATTATTATTCACATAGTCAAATCTTGATTATGAGAAATTTACCTAAATATGACTAAAACATAATAACTTTCTCACTATAGGACAATATGTTTTTATTTCCCATGTAGATCACTTGTCATTATCCATTACTCATTATTCAAGTAAATGTCCATCATCACTGGACATTATTCTTCTTACTAGACATTATTAAGTCTTATTTAAGAAATAAAAAAGTTAAAGTTCTACATTAGAAAATGGGTTATGTTTTGGTCCTATTTAGTGCAAATTTTTCCTTGATTATTTTCTTTACACATTTTCGTTACATTTAATTTTGTAGATATTTTGATATAGTTTTTAAAAATACAAATTTATTTTTAAATTCTACCCCAATTTTCATACTATCTCCGTCCATAATTATTTGTCCAGTTTTGACCTTAATTTTTCAGTCAACCATTTTTAACATTTGAACTATACCCCAAATAATATATGCTCCCTATGTTCCTAAAAACCATTCATGTTTTGAGTTTTTTTGTTCAAACACTGACACTCTTTGACTACTAATTAAACGTAACCTAAATACGGAGTAGTTAAATGATATAAATATTTGATATATCAAAACTATATTCTAAAATGAACCCAATTATATTGAACTTATATTATCCCCGGAGTAATTGTATATGCTTTTCTCGTAATTTATGGTCAAAGATTGTCACTATTTGACCAAAAAAAGTCATAAGAAGAAAGGTTTTTCGGACCGGAGGAAGCATATCGTATATTAATTAGATAAAATAATATTTTGAAAATATTTTATATAAAAAACTAATGCAAATATTTTTGTATCAATATCCAATATTACTTTTATTTAATTCGAAATCAAAATTACCAGTTTTAGCTGAAAAATTCAAAAATAGACAAACAATCAGAAAATGAGGGTAGGGAGTATAAATTAATTTGAAAAGAATCTCACTCAACTTAGATATACTTTAATCAAAGCTGCATTTTTTTTTATCTTTGTTTTTTTTTTTGACGGGGCCCGAAGGTTAAATGGAACAGACGAAGCAACGAAACTCTCATTTTTGAGGAATTGGACCAAAGTCCACATTGAAGATGCGCAGAAGATTCTCGGGAAGCCTATTGTGGTAGCGGAGTTCGGGAAGGACAGAAAAGATCCCGGGTACACCGTGGAAAAGAGGAACGAGGTGTTTGCCACCGTCTACGATGCGATTTACGATTCTGCCAAAGGCGGCGGGGCGGCGGCCGGCGGGATGTTCTGGCAGCTGTTCACGGAAAGAATGGACTCCTACGGAGACGGAAACGAGATCATCTTCAGCAGAGACGCCTCGACAACCGGTGCCATCATCGACCAGCAGTCGGAGCGGATGGGGAAACTTCGTAAGATGTATGAGAGGCTGAAGAAGATGGAGGAGCGGAGGAAGAAGATGATGAGGAAGAGGGCAAGGGATAACAACAACAATGGAATGTGAAGGTGATGAAAAGAATTGGTGTTGGAGTTTAAATAAATAAATTTGATTATTCATTTAGATCATTTACCTAAATAATACTAAAACATATTGACTTTCTTGATAAAGTACAATATGTTTTTATTTCCCAATGTAGTGTCAGTGTTCAATGTCCATGCCGGTGGTCATTGTTCAAGTAAATGTCCACCGCCACTAGACATTGTTCAAACTAAATGCCCAACATCACTGGACATTATATTGTTGTCAACACCAAACATTATTCAAGTATTATTTAAGGAATAAAAAACCTTAAGTACTACATTGGGAAAACACATTTGTTTTAGTACTATTTACTGCAAGTTTCACATTCATTTATAAGAATGAGATAAGATTAAAGAAATGAAATATGCATTCTGTTTTATAAAACGATTCCTATCTTGACTTTTAAGAGAAATAAGAAGTGTATATTTGTGTTTGACTTTTCAATTTTGTCCTTGTTGTGATGGATAAAAGTAAAATCTGATGAGTAGATTATTAGCAAAAAAGTATAGAAATCATCCTAAATAGGACTAAAACATAGAGAAAAGTACCAAAATAGGACTTTCATGTTTTTTTTCAGAATAAGACTTTACACTGTGGTAATGTGACTTTGCATTGTGGTAATGTGACTTTGCATTGTGGTAATGTGGTAGTGTACATGTGCAAATAATTATACTTTTTTGGTAATGTATATGACTACGTTTGGTAATGTAAGTCCTATTTCGGGAATAAAAACATGGATGTCCTATTTTGGTATATTTTCAATGTTTTAGTCCTACTTTGGTCTTTCTCCCAAAAAAGTATGATGTGATACGTAAGGTAAGAAAAAGCACAGGCAAAAGTGGTTTTTTAATAGAAAGTAAAAGTATTTTAAGAAAAAACAAAAGAAAATAAAAGAAGTGTTTTAAAAAAAGAGGAAAATACTGAAACATACGAGTATAGTGGTGTTCATAAAAAATCAAAACTAGACAAAATAAATATTCTTTAACGGGGTAATAGCATGGGTGTCCCCCGTGGTTTACAAAAGGAACGCCAAAACCCCCTCTACTTTTAAAAGTTATTTGTAAAACCCTTGTGGTTTTTAAATAGTGCACATACAGACGCCCCCTCTTGCCTATTTTTAGACATAAAATGACATTTCTGCCCTTTATTTTTCTCTACCTTCAAGTTTCACTCTTTTATTTGCATTTTTTTGTTATACAAATAAATAAATAAAATATACGCCCCTTTTCTCAAATTAAAATTTTTCATTTATTTAATTTTCAAAAAAATATTTTTTTAGAAAATGCTACAAAAGAAAATGAAAATTTAGAAAATGAAATAAAATACACCTTTTCATTATAAGTAAAAGTAAAATAAATAAAATAAAAATTAAGATAACATATACTCACTCTGTCTCTAATTAAAAATTCTAACTTATTTGTTATTTAAAAGTAAAATAATTTTCAAAGGACTTTAAAAAATGAAGAACAAAAAGATAAAATAAAATACGGTGTTTATTTTTCATTTTCTTTTGTAGCATTCTCCAAAAAAAATATTTTTTCCAAAAATACATTATGGAAAATTTTAATTTGCGATGAGAAGCGTATATTTTATTTTATATATTTGTATAATAGAGGAAAATAAAATAGGGAAAATTCAAGATCGAGGAAAAGAAAGGGCATAAATATCATTTTTATTTTAAAAATAGGTAAGGGAGCATGTATGCTCTATTTAGAAACCATAGCGACTTTACAAATAACTTTTGAAAACAGAGTGGGTTTTGACGACCTTTTTGTAAATCACGGGGGGTAACGATGCTAATGGTGTTTGTTTACTAAATTACCCTTATACCAATATATGTATTAATTACTCTGGTAATATACTCCGTATACACTAAACCCTAATTCATAACTTTTTTCTTCAGTTCTTCCTTTAATTTCTCCACCCTCGGTATACTCTAACCCTAATTATTCACTTTCTTCCTCAGTTCTTCCTAGACAAGTATTGTGAATTAATGTTAAATAAAATTTCAAAAAAAAAAATCAAAAGGGTATTCATAATAACTTATTACTCAGCTCCGTAATTAATTGGTTAGATACTAGTTTAGAAAGTTAATTTAAAAAACATGTGATTCTAGCTATAATGATAAAGTAGACAATGACCTGGTCGAGCCAACGCGTACTAAAAAACACTGAGAAATGCTTGGTTCACAAATAAAATGAACAAAAGGAATATATTTGGATATTACATGTAGGTAAATTAGCAATGGATTCCGGACTTGTAACGGTACATTTTACTTTGACAAAATTTCTCGAGGCTATCGAATGCTCCGCTTTGTCTTTTTAGCTGGTTTTTTTCTTTTTTTTCTTTCTTTAAATATCTTGATCGTGAAATTGTTAAAAATAATTGCGTGTGAAACTAATATTTTGTCCACAAATACTAACCAAGCCATGACTTTTTCTGAATTTCGTTCTCTGAATCTCTTTTTTTTTTGCAAGAAAAGAGTGGGAATGGAATATAAAAAAAATTCTTTTTGAATTTTCACGCGGTGCGACTTTATTTCAAAAAAGTTAGTAAATGTAGAAAATCATCACGGGTAATAATTAATTATCTCTCTCTCATAATTACCTACAACTAAAAGAGGGGGGGGAGCATTAAATAATTTTCTTATTTAAAGAAATTAAACGATAACTTCCCCTTGTTAAGAAGGAGAAGATTAAGTATAGTTCTGATAAAAATTAAAATGGGATTAGAGAAGATGAAACAGTGCTTTCTTGTGGTATTAATATTATTAGGGTTGGGGGTGGGAGGGAGCAAAGGGTATAATGGTAAAAACGAAGGAGGAGATGGCGGGATGGTGAGGGTCAATGGGACCCAGATGGTGTTGGATAATGGGAGCCCATTTTACTGGAACGGTTTCAATGCTTACTGGTTAATGGTAATGGCGGCCTACGACGACCCTACAAAAGTGAGTGCTGTATTCGAACAGGCCAGAAGCCATGGCCTCACTGTGGCTAGGGCTTTGGCTTTCAGTGATGGTGGAGATTTTCCATTGCAGTCCTCACCTGGTGTTTACAATGAAAAGACGTTTCAGGTTTGTCGATCATGAAACTCAAATATTATATACTCCCTCCGTTCTCAAAAACATTCCTGTTTCATTTTTTCAACTTTCAACAAAAGACTTCCCTTTTCTATTAAAATCACTTTTACCCTTATTTTTCATACCCTACCTATCACATCATACTTTTTCTCTAATAATCTATCCATCACATCTTACTTTTACCCATCACATCAGGGGCAAAATTGGAAATCAACTATAATTTAACACTTCTTTATTTTTTCTCCAAATCAAAATGGGAAGGGTTTTTCCAAACGGAGGGAGTATAACTCTATGCTTCAGTATTACTCTCTCCGTTCTACAAGACCCTTCTAGTTTTGACTTTGGGGAAAAATAAGAAAAGTGTAATTTTGGTTGACTTTCCAATTTTGCCCCTGATGTGATGGGAAAAAATAAAATGTGATAGTTTGGTTATTAGTGAAAAAGTATTATGTGATAGGTAGGTATGAAAAAATATGGGTAAAAATGGTTTTTAATAGAAAGTGGAAGTGTTTTGTGGAAAGCAAAAAAACGAAAGAGGAAAAGTTTTGTGGAACGGAGGGAGTACAATAGTAGTATATGTTCGCAAATATTTTCTTATCAAATGTATTGAAGCACCGAGGGTTGTTGCATCAAAGAAGATTGAATCACGGACCTTTCATTTGGAAGAGTTGCCTTAGGGACATTTGACCACAAGGTCTTTGGCTATGTCTAATTAAATACTCCCTCCGTCCCTAAATAAAGTTCCATTTTTGACTTTTTGAGGATTTAAAGGAGGGATATTTTTGTGTTGACTTTCCAAAAATACCCTTGATGTGATGTGTAAAAGTAAGATGTGATATGTAGATTATTAGTAAAAAGGTATGATGTGATAGGTAGGGTATGAAAAAGTAAGGGGTAAAAGGGGTTTTTTAGGGGAAAAGAGAAGTTTATTTAGGGACAAAGAAAAAACGAAAGATGAACTTTATTTAGGGACGGAGGGAGTATAATTTGACTTAAATTAAATAAAAATGTCGAAGACCTTGTAGTTAGACCTGACTAAACAGAACCGGAATCAATTAGTCGAACTGAATGATCCAAAACTGTAACCGAAATGATCCAAAAAGTGAAGATCCGATGTATAACCGAAATGATCCGAACATAAATGAAACTGAACTTAATATATCCATACCTATTTAAATTAAATGAAAAATATTATATTTTTTTATATAGCATTTATATTTTTTCATATTTAGTTTTAATTATTTCATATTATCCACATAATATGAGTTTGTATTGTTGTAATCTGAAAACATATATTTATATACATACGGAGTATATCTTTTTTTGGGTATATGTATACATAATTGGCATGAAAACTCTTGCTTTAGAGAAAATAATTGAACTCATTTTTTCTATAAAATCATGTTTTTCTTGTACTTCATTTTTTTCCTCAGAAAATTTAATAAAATCATCAAACACAAAATTATTAAAAAAATTAAATGTTGACTATTATTAAAATAAGGTGGCCTACATATGAGCAAAATAAGTTTTTCTTTACTACTTAAATAAGGATTTATTATTTTAAACAAAAAAAGATTTTTTTATGTGAGAATGCATTAAAAAATGGTATGCATCAAATAAGCACTCTTAAAATGAAATAAATCTTCTTTGCATAGTAAGAATATATTTTATTGAACACAAAATGTGACGATCATCCACGTATAATAAGGAAAGCGTATTTTTGATTAATTTTTCAATTTTTACCCCTGATTTGATGGGTAAAGTAAGACGTGATAGTTTGGTTATTAATGAAAAGGTATGATGTGATAGATTGGGTATAAAAAGTATGAGTAAAAGTGGTTTTTAATAAAAAGTGAAAGTGTTTTAGGGAATTAGAAAAAACAAAAGGGAAAGGAGGGATAGTTTAACCGTGTGAATAGTAACTGGGAAGATAGTTTTAGGACGGAGGGAATAAAAATTTAATACTCCCTCCGTCCCTGAAAGGGTTTCTCTTATTGACTTTATGGGAAATTAAGGAAGGGATATTTTTGTGTTGACTTTCCAAAACTGCCCTTGATGTGATGGTAAAAGTAGGATGCGATGGATAGATTATTAGTAAAAAAATATGATGTGATAGGTAAGGTAAGAATTAGTAGGGGTAAAGTGATTTTTTAATAGATAAGTGAAGAAGTTTGTGGGACAAGAAAAAAAACAAAGGGGAAGGAGTTTAAGGGACGGAGGGAGTATATCAAAACTGCATGTTAAAATCAATCCAATAATATTAAATTTATATCATAACTAAATATACTTTTTTTCCCTAATTCGTAGTCCAAACTTGTAAGATAAACTGAACCGATTTGAACCGAACCGATAATAATATATATTCAAAAGATACCCGAACTAAATTATTCCAAACTTGAACCGATAGGATCGATTGCCACCTCTACTTGTAGTCGAACTACATATAATTGTAGCTCTCCCAAACGGGAGCTCACATGTTCGAACCGCAGTGTAGATTGAATATGTATAAATGGATATTATTGTTATTGTTGTTGTTATTGTTATTGTTGTTGTTGTGATTATAATTATTATTATTGAAATGAAGGGGTTGGATTTTGTGATAAGTGAGGCTAGGAAGTACGGCATAAAGCTGATATTAAGCTTGGTAAACAATTACCCCGATTTCGGAGGAAAGCAACAATATGTGAACTGGGTACATCCCCACACCAATTCCCCACCCGATCTATTCTTCACCGATCCCCAAGTCAAACAATATTACATGAATCATGTCAAGGTTTGCATTCTATTCATACCTACTACGGCCTTGTTTGGGAACAGCGTTAGAGATTAGCGTTAACGCTTTGGATAAAATTTTAATGGTGTAGATTAATATTGAAAACGCTATCGATAAAGGCTAGCGTTGAATAACTAACCTTTTCAAAACGCTAACGCTAATCTCTAATGTTGATGCCAAACGAGGCCAACATAATATTGCTGCTCCAAAATTTATTACTCCGTATTAGATTGTCCTAAATATATTTTTCCATATTCCATTTTTCTTTTGGTAAAGAAATAAAAAAAATAAAAGTTGCATATTTAAAAACTAACGTTTACAAAACAAGAGATGACAATAATATTTAATTTTATCAAATAATCAATTAAAACGCACAAACAAATAAAAGTTTTCGTGATTTTTGAATTGTGAAGTGTTGAATCCTTTTTGGGACGGAGGAGTAGTTACATTCTTTATCCACAATTTTGAAAAATGTTTATTTTTTGTTATAACATAAGTTTAATATCATTATTAGACTTTTTATGAGATGTATTTTGATATATCAATTTTTTGTAACATTTATTTATTTAAAATTAATTTAATTTGTTATAAAAAAAATGTCATAGTAAAGAATATAATGTCACAAAGAATGAGATTAACGTAGAAATAAAAGACTTAAATTGCCATTTTTTGTCTTATAACTAGACTCGTTTGCAATATAATTTCAAGAATTATTTATATGTTTGTATAGGCTATTCTTACGAGGAAAAACCACATAAGTGGGGTGATGTACAAGGATGATCCAACCATTATGGCTTGGGAGCTCATGAATGAACCCAGATGTCAATCTGATTTATCAGGAAGCACCCTTCAAGTATGTTTTTACTTAAATTTTAATTTTAGTGCTTTTCTATATTTCTAATAATAATAATAATAAGGGCAACTTCCAAACAAGGCCGTAATGTAAAATACCAAGGGACTGCGAAATTACAGACAATCAACGGTATAACACTCATATTTACAAGATCTGTTGGGATTTTAAGCGCGTAAGATACCGAAAAATATTGAGAACACTAGAAAAATGAGAGAACAAACACAAGGAGAATATATGAGAGAAAAATTATATCTTCACTATTTCAGAACGATACACAAAAAACTCTCCATGTTTACAAGTGCTAAATACCAGACACTTTTAAACAGACTTTTTAACACCCTACACCCGGATGTATTTTTCCGAGTAACTAAAACCAGTTACTCCCTACACTCACTCACATAATATTGGTGATATCTTGTGTAGCACCTCTCTCTTCACACCATTTCCCTCTTTTCTTCTCTCTTGGCCGTGTGTCAACCCACACACAATTATAAAGAAAAGGATTCCTCTTATAAGAGGTGAAGGCCAAAAAAAACATCTCCATCCCATATTCCCATTATTTTCGTACACCACCAAGAACCAAGAGAAGGAGACAACTCCACTTCACATGCATGGGTCCACTTCACATGCATTGGTGTGTATGCATGCATATTCCTTTTTTTTTCTTTTTTTTTCTTTTTAATTAATCAATCCCAACAAACTCCACCTTGATTAATTAATCAAACCATGGTCCGGCTCCACCCCGCTCGTTCCGGCGAGGTCATAGTCTCCACCAACCTGAGAATCTTCAAATGTCACCCGCTTCTTCCATGCAAATGCTCCGCTCGTTGCACTTGTAATTTTTCCTTCTGGCAACTTCCGTGTCAAATCTTTTCCTACAAGTTTATACAAGCCTTTTGACAAAACTCCTTTTGCTACCACCATTGCTCCCCTAGAAATTTTTAACACTCCACCTTGAGCAAAAAATCGGTAGCCTTCTGAGTCTAAAGCCCCCAATGAAATCAAATTTCCTTTTAGATCCGGTACATGTTTCACTCCAGTTAATGTTCTCACCACGCCATCAAACATGCGAACTTGCACTGTTCCGACCCCTGCAATTTTGCTCCGTGCACCATTTGCCATCTTCACAGCACCCCCATCACAAGTTTGATAGGTATCAAACTTTTCCTTAACTGAACACATGTGAAACGAACACCCCGAATCTAATATCCAATCTGATTTGCCTAGGCTCTTTGCGGTTGCCAAAAATAAGTCTTCTTCACTTTCTTGGTTCGAACTTTCTGCAACCGCAGTCACGGGTGTTTTCCCGTCCTTCTTTTCCTTCCTCCTCTTTGGACAATCCCTTTTGAAATGACCCTCTTCATCGCAGTAGTAACACCGAAAGCTTTTACTACTCGATTTGAAGCGTTGGGACGCGCCGCCCCTCTCTTTAGACCGTCCTCNTTCATCAACAACGCAGCAACTACTTCATCAAATTTTAAGGTCTCTTTTCCAAACAAAAGCGTGGTCACGATGTTGTCAAAAGATGAAGGCAATGAAGCCAACAAAAGCAGCGCCTTGTCCTCCTCTTCAATCTTCACATCAATGGATTCCAACTCTGTTGTAATCTTGTTGAATTCATCCAAGTGTCCATTAAAGTTAGCTTCCTCCGCCATTTGGAGACCAAACAATCGTTTCTTCAAGTATAGCCTACTTGTCAACGATTTCGACTTGTACCGGCTCTCCAGCTTGTCCCAAATATCCACCGGGTCCGTCAAACCAAGAACCTCCCGAAGAGTATTATTTGCAAGGCATAGGCATATTGTACTTGTTGCCATGTCCTTCAAATCCTCCCACTCTTCTTCCGACAATTTTTCCGGTTTGTCGTTCTTTCGGTGTTTGGCCCACTCAGCATCCGTCATTTTTTCTGTCCTCTGAACCTTCACCTTCAGAGCTTTGATTGTCCCTTCCCGAGTAAGAACGCTTTTTACTCGTTGTTGCCACAGAGTAAAATCGCCACGTCCATCAAAAGGTTCGACGGAAACATTCGAACTTTTTACCGATGCCATTTTTCAAGTTCTCGACTTTCTTCTCTTACCGCTTAGAAATCCCTCCGCCCCAAATGTAACTTGGCTCCGATACCAATTGTTGGGATTTTAAGCGCGTAAGATACCGAAAAATATTGAGAACACTAGAAAAATGAGAGAACAAACACAAGGAGAATATATGAGAGAAAAATTATATCTTCACTATTTCAGAACGATACACAAAAAACTCTCCATGTTTACAAGTGCTAAATACCAGACACTTTTAAACAGACTTTTTAACACCCTACACCCGGATGTATTTTTCCGAGTAACTAAAACCAGTTACTCCCTACACTCACTCACATAATATTGGTGATATCTTGTGTAGCACCTCTCTCTTCACACCATTTCCCTCTTTTCTTCTCTCTTGGCCGTGTGTCAACCCACACACAATTATAAAGAAAAGGATTCCTCTTATAAGAGGTGAAGGCCAAAAAAAACATCTCCATCCCATATTCCCATTATTTTCGTACACCACCAAGAACCAAGAGAAGGAGACAACTCCACTTCACATGCATGGGTCCACTTCACATGCATTGGTGTGTATGCATGCATATTCCTTTTTTTTTCTTTTTTTTTTCTTTTTAATTAATCAATCCCAACAAGATCAAAGTAATTTTATTTAGCTATATTGTTTTTCATTTGTTGTTTTACGTTATGATTAGAAATGTTACCACTGTCTATCTTGTACTCCTTCCGTTTCGTAAAACCCTTCTCCTTTCATTTTTCTCCAATTCCTTAAAATACTTCCACTTTCTATTAAAAAACCACTTTTATTCAAAATATTATTTTATAGAATTAATATACTGTGCAAATTTATGATCGAACTGAATTTGCAGAAATGGATTGAAGAAATGGCTGCCTTCGTGAAAAGCATCGATAACAAACACCTTCTGGAAATTGGACTCGAAGGCTTTTATGGCAAGGCAAATGACGCAAGAAATCAAGGATTAGCATTTCAGTACGGGACTGACTTCATTTCTAACAATCAAATCCCCCATATCGATTTCGCAACCGTTCACGCTTATCCCGATTCATGGTAAACACGAACTCGAATACGGGAGAAAGTAGTACTAAAACGGTTCTTATTTTAACTTGTGAAAGCCCGGCCAACGTAGTGCCGTCTTGGTCAAGTTGCCGAGGGCTGACGGTCACCGGTTCAACCGGTAATCCACTACCACACTACCATTTTCGCACTGCCATTGTTAGAATATAAAAACATTTTCTCGACCACAACCATCATCATGTACTCCTATATTATCGTCACACTGTCCTATTTGTAGATAAAAATGTATGTATAGCTCCCATTTTGATTGCAAACATTTCTTTCCGAAATAACCTTTCAAATTACGTACTTTTTTTTGATAACATGAAGGTTGAGTGGAAGAGACGATGCAGCTCAACTGTCCTTCATGGGAAATTGGATCAACACCCACATTTATGATGCACAGAAGATCCTCAAGAAGCCCGTGGTCGTAGCAGAGTTCGGGATGAACAGTTCGGACCCCGGGTTCAGCGTCCACAAGAGGGACGTGTTATTTGCCACCGTTTACTCGGCCATTTCCGGCTCGGCGAAGGGCGGCGGGGCGGCGTCCGGCGGGTTGTTCTGGCAGCTGTTTACGGAGGGCATGCGCTCGTTCAACGATGGGTACGAGGTCATCTTGAGCGAGAGCGCCACGACGGCCGAGGTCATCCGACAACAGTCAGAAATCATGGGCCAACTTAGTGAAATGCATGCCAGGGTGAAGAAGATGGAAGAGGAGCTAGGAATGGAAAACAACAATAGTGGCAATTGAAGAAGCTAAGATGATCCATGAAGGAGTGATTAATGTTAGAGTATAAAATCTCTTTCTTGGAGGAGAAGGTTTTGTACTCCTAACCACAAACATTTTATGGTCTGTTATAGTTTTTGTTTGTGAAACATATGAATTCCTCGTTTTAAACACTATGATATCACAATAGCACAATTTTACTCGGTGTATTCATTTGGAATTTTAAATGATTATGACAGATTTTGTATAATCTATTGATTTTGACATTATGTGGAATTCATAGATTATTTTAATTCAATCTATCTACACCTTGGTTCCCATGACATTGGTTCCCAATGTCATGGGATAACCCGGGAGCGCTCCGGTGTCCCGTTCGTAAAATTGACGGTTCCTACCCCCCTAACCCCCCGATAAACTCCCCCACCCTGCCCCGACCCAAACGCACCCCCCACCCCCTTCAATTGCACCCCACAAGTTGATTTTGATTTTGGAGTCAAATTTTGACTCCAAAGTCAAAATCAACTTGTGGGGTGCAATTGAAGGGGGTGGGGGGTGCGTTCGGGTTGGGACGGGGTGGGGGGGTTTACCGGGGGTAGGAACTGTCAATTTTACAAACGGGGCACCGGAGCGCTCCCGGGTCATCCCATGACATTGGTTCCCAATGTAATGAGAACCTTGTCCATCTATATATATAGAATTCGGGAAAGTTTTATAATTTCAAATATATAAGAAAAAAATTTGTACTCTCCGTTCTAAAAAACACTTCCTCTCTCATTTTTTTTCACTTCCAACAAAACACTTCCACTTTCTATTAAAAAATTACTTTTACCCTTACTTTTCATACCCTACCTATCACATCATACTTTTTCTCTAATAATCTATCCATCACATCTAACTTTTACCCATCATTCCCAATTTAGCAACCGCACCTATATCGTATCATCCCCCCCTCTTTCATGCACCGCGAGCCATAGTCATCCTGCCACGGCTATCGGTGATCCTTACTCCCTCCGTTTCTTAAAACATCTTCTCTTTCTCTTTTTGTTTTCTCTAAAACACTTTTACTTTCTACGAGTATTTAAAAATCATTTTACCTCTACTTTTTCTTACCCTATTTATCACATCATATTTTTTACTAATAATTTATCCATCACATCAAGAGCAAAACTGAAAAGTCAACTACAAATATACTCTCCTTATTTTTCTTAAAAGTCAAATAGGAACCGTTTTATGAAACAGAGAAAATAATAAGTCCTGGTGTTGCTTTGAGCCCTGCATGTGAAAACACAATTTAAAAAAAAAATTGGGTGATGGTGTTTGACGTATTTACATCACTAATTAATTTGTTAATTAATTATTAATTTGAAAAACTAAAACATGTGAGATACTACACAAAAGTAATGAGGGAGAAGAAGTAATATTTACGGCATTATTTATTCATTAAACTTTGATAAAATTTCTCGAGGCTATGGATAGCTCCACCAGTCCACCTTGTCTTTTTAGTTAGTCTACGTTTCTTTTTTCTTTTATACTCCCTCCGTCCAGGAAAACATGGAAGTTTTGATTTTAGAAAAAGATTTAAGGAGAGTGTATTTTAGTATTGAATTTTCAAAAATGTCCTTTGATGTGATGGGTAAAAGTATGATTTGATGAATAGATTATTCGTAAAAAGATATGATGTGATATGTAGGATATGAAAAAGTAATGGGTAAAAGAGACTTTTTAATAGAAATGAAAAATGTTTTTTGAGACGGATGAAAAAAGAAAGGGGAAAGGTTTTCTGGGAGAGAGGGAGTATGTCTTTTTGAACAAAAGTTGTTAAAAGAATTAAAACAATACTCCGGTGGTCGATCCGTATGTGTGAAAGAAATATTTTGTCCGCCACTACTAACGACTTTTTTATTCTAAATTGTGTGAATGTTGACGTTTCGGTTGGCCTTGTTGATAATGGCGTGATGGGGTTTGGCTTTTTAGCCCGTACCCGTCACGGTGTCTCTGTTGCGGCAAAAAAAAAATGTGATTGTTCGTTCTTGGGAGTTTTGGAGATCAAGAGGCGGAAGTAATGGTGGTGAAGAAGGCACTGATGAGACCGCACATGTATTAGCACAGACATTTCATTTTTTTTGTAGAGTTTGGGAGAGTGAATTGATTCACCTCCAAACTGTATTTCAAACTTACACTAAAATTGAAGTATGATTTCTTACAAAAGAAAATGTGCATCCCAGCTTTACTTTTACAAAAAAAAAAAATAAATATGGAGAGATTGGAATCGTGACTTGTGGAGGGCTTGGATTATTATTGGCCAGACAATATTCTCAAAAAATTTAAAGTTGAAATTGGTTCCAACGCCGCTAATTAAGCCAAGACAGCTGGTTATTATTCCCGGCTACTACTCTCTTCGTTTCAAAAAATAGTTTCATTCTAATTCTTTTACGTATTCTACAAAATATTTTTACCCTTACCTAAAATCTTCGTTAATGCCCCTCATTTCTCTTTTATTGCGATAAAAATTATTTTAAATATATTTTATACATTTCAGGTAAGGAAGAAATATTTTTGTGGGATGCTTACAAAATTAGAATAGAAATGTTTTTCGATTTTCTTTACTTATTTTTGTTAATTACTTTTTAAAATAACATAGATTAATCGAAAAACAAATTCAGTCACATCTCTTAATAGGACAATATAAAAAGATGGGGGGGAGCAAATTAATTTACTATACTCCAATAAGTCTCCCATTTATTGAACTCTTTAAAGAAGAAGAAGAAGATTGATAATATACAGAGTAAATAGCAATTATCATTATTATACGAAGTAAAAAAAAAAGAGAGAGAGATGAGGAAACAGTACTGGGGAGTGTCTGTAATACCATTATTATTTCTTCTTGTGGTCTTAGCTTTGAGTGTGAAAACCATCAAAGGGCATAATAACCATAATGGAATGGTGAGGATCAACGGCACGCAGTTGATGTTGAACGGAATCCCGTTCAAAGTTAATGGTTTCAAAGCTTACTGGCCGTTGTTTGCCGCGGCTGAGCCTTCCCAGAGATCCAATGTCGGCGCCGTTTTTGACCAGGCGAGGAACCACGGTCTAAACGTGTTAAGGACTCTGGCTTTCGGGGAAGGGGGGAAGAACCACCCCCCGCTCCAGATCGAACCAGGGCATTACAATCGGACCATGTTAGAGGTTCGTTGGTCGTTTAATGTTACCTTCTTTTCCTTTTTTTTTAACCGTCTGCTATGATTTTTACCGTTTCGTGTTACGACTTTTTATTTATTTATTTATTTGGTAATGCGACGATGAAGGCGCTGGATTATGTCGTTTCGGCTGCCGGGGAGAAGGGTATGAAGGTCATTTTAAGCTTGGCGGACAATTGGAAGGACTATGGGGGAATGGAAAAGTACGTGGAATGGGTACATGGTGGTGAAAAGAATTTGAGCGCCGAGCTTTTCTTCAGTGATTATAAAGTCAAAGAACACTTCAAGAATCATGTTCAGGTTACCATATTATTATTATTATTCTCTCAAAGAAAAAAAAATGCAATTTATTAGTCTTTTATTTTATTATTTTTTTGGTTGAATTTCAAGAATTATTTATAAATTTTTTTTGGTTGAATAGGCTATTCTTACGAGGAACAACAGCATAAGTGGGGTGATGTACAAGGATGACCCAACAATTATGGCTTGGGAGCTCATTAATGAACCCAGATGTAAATCAGATTTATCAGGAAACACTCTCCAAGTATGTTTTTTTATTTCTCTTATTTAATCATATTTTTTTTATATATTTTGAAATCAGACTGTTCAAAACTATTGTTTCATAATTACTGTTTATTTTCACTTCCTAACAACACATGAGATTCAACTTTGAGGTGACATAAATACTGTGAATGTAATGTGCATGCACTCAACAAATTTGCAGAAATGGATTGAAGAAATGGCTAACTTCACCAAAACCATTGATGAGAACCATCTTCTGGAAATTGGACTTGAAGGCTTTTATGGCCAGCAAAACCCCAAGAAAAATCTGGGATCCAACAACGGATTTCATCAATTCGGGACAGACTTCATTCGAAATAATCAGATCCCGGGAATCGATTTTGCAACTGTTCACGCATATCCCGACGCATGGTATCTTCTTTTTTTCTCAATCTCTGTGCCCCGTCAAAGCGATGAACATAATTTTTGTTATTTTACCCGGACTAAAAGGTTAGGTAACAAGACGAGTGAGGAAGAACAACTCTCGTTTCTGAAGACATGGATGGACAGCCACTTTGAGGACGCAAACGAGATTATCAAGAAGCCTATACTTGTAGCAGAGTTTGGGAAGAGCAGTAAAGATGCAGGATTCACCGTCGAAAAGAGGGACAAAGTATTTACCACCGTTTACTTGGCCATTTCCAACTCCACAAGGGTAGGGGGCGCGGCTGCCGGTGGGTTATTCTGGCAACTGTCGATAGAAGGCATGGATGCCTTCTATGACGGGTATCATGTCATCTTAAACCAGAGCCCCTCGACAGCCGAGGTCATCAAACATCAATCGAGCGTGATGCCCCTCGACAGCCGAGGTCATCAAACATCAATCGAGCGTGATGGGCACTCTTTAGATGATGAAGTGAATGGCATGGGTTGCCATGGGTTATGGCGGTCATAACGCATTTTAGTTAAAAGCGTCGTGTGTACTACTAATAAGTTTCGTTCTGGGTTTTCTACGGTTCTTTCCCAGATCGTAAAAATGAGAGTCGAACCGGATAGAGTTATCAGATAAATTCAAATGCTTATCAAACATGTATCTTAATGAAACTATCAAAGAATTTTCCTAAAATCCTCCTTACATGTTCTCTCTTCTTATTCCTAACTTTCTTCTCTGGCCGACTAATTCAACCAAAAGTTCATGCGGAAGTCCAAAGAAAAAGGTTTTATATATACTCTAAATGGTAAAGTGAACAAAATGCCATGGTTTATTCTAGTTTTTGTTTGTGAAATATTTACACCAGACATGACTAAAAAACCAGAAACTCAAAATGATTTAACTTATACATGGTCTACAAATTGCTTATTTTGAATGACATCTCAACAACACTTGGTTTTAGTTTGCGGAGGAAGAAGAACGAAGAAGAAAAGGTTTATCATATGACCGTTCCGTCCTTGATGGTGGCGTTCTTAAGAACAATGGTGATCCCGGACCTGATGTAGAAACCCTCATCCACCCGGTCGGCTTCATCAATTCCCTACAATTGACCAACCAAGATGCCGTGTGAACTTCCTTTTTCGTACCCGAAGTTTTTACTGGGGTAAATAATACGTACTCCGTAAATATATATACTTACATCCTGGTTTGCAAGGACCACGTCTCTTCCAATCCTGGCGTTCTTGTCAATGATGCAATTTCTGAACAGAAAATGAATTATGAAAAATTTACGCATAACAGATTAACAGGCTCTTCTGGTGCAGAGTACCCACCTGATTTTGGTGTTTGCCCCTATTCCAATGGGAACCTTCCCATCAGCTAGTAGAGAAGCAATCTCTGCTTCTGTTTGATAGTAGTCTGCGCCCATCATCATTGTATCCTGAAACAATGAATGCAGACACACGTTACATCCACATTCATTTGATTCTTAATGTAGGTAGAAAGTCATAATGGCGTGATGTTATGAAAACGTACCTCAAGCTCAACACCATAATCTAATCGTGAACGCACGCCTACTATAGAGTGTTTGAGACTGCACTCCCTCAAGAAGCAACCGTGTGAGATTATTGCATCGACCATCTGAGCCCCAAGAACAGAAAACCATAGGAATTAGTAGATTATTGAATCAACCATCTGAGAATACTCCAAGTTTACCCCTACTTAATTCTCCATTATTCTAAGATATGAGTTACTATTTGCTAATCAACTTTATTTAATGAAAATTTGTTGCTAGAATATGTGAACGCTGACAACTATAGCACACTTGCAGCAAACAATAGATTTTCTTAAATACGGAGTATAATCTAGGAATTTTTTTGTAGGGGCTGCCCTAAGACAGTCCCACAAATCGCAGCTAAGATAAGAGGAGTAAAGGGCGTACCTTGCACTTATCAGCCTTAGTAGGAGGTAAGAATCTCGGCGAGGTGTAGAAAGGAGACTTTGGGTCATTGAAGTCAAACTTAGGAGACTGCAAAGATGACAAAATGCAATAAAATTCCAAAATAATGGAGCAGAGAATATAGGGAAAATCGAAAAGTCTAATCTAACCTGCTCGGTGAGGGCTAAGTTTGCATCAAAAAAGGACTTCACTGTTCCGATGTCCTCCCAGTAATCGCTAAACAAATACGCCTGAGAATAAAACAAAACGAAGCAACTAAATTAGTAAATGTAAGGTATGTAGCTCTATCAGAAGCTAAAGATGCATTGTGGGTTAAGGTCTTGTTTGGGAACAACGTTTTCAATTAGCATAACCATTTTGGACAATTTTTTTAATGCTGCTGATTAACTTTGAAAATGCTAAATTCAAACGTTGCCATTAGTTGGACTTTTTCAAAACGCTAAAGGTGTTGCCAAACAAGCACTAAGTTGATATCAACTCTTACCCGGACATTACGGTCTTTGACAGCAGCTGGGATGATTTCTGAGCCAAAATCATTGCATGAAGGGTGTTTTGACATTAGAAGATCTAGCAGAACCTCAGTTTTGAAAACGTACACACCCATGGACGCAATATAAGGGTATTTCTTAGCTTCTTGATCAGAAAGTCCTAGAAGAGATGTGTCAATTCTCTGCCATAGAAAACATAATTAGAAATTATGATGCTTAGCGTTTGGACCATGTAAAAAACAAGGGAAGAAAACAGAGGGAAAATAAAAGATAGAATAAAAATCAATCGACTTCTTTTACATATTTGATTCCACCCATTTCATTTTATTTTTGTTTATTACATAAAGACTAAGTCTATATGTAACATTTTTGAGAAACTTTAGAATGATTTACAATAGCCCTTTTGCTTAAAACTAGGTTGTCTACCATTGTTTGCAGGGCAGGCCCTTTTAGTTTTTCAGCAAATTGTACAATGCACCCGCTTTCATCAATTTTCATCAATCCATAATCTGAAGCCCGGCTGCATGAGAGAAAAAGAAATGATGAAACTAAGATATTAAAACTAAACATTAACTCCATCCATATGGAAATGAATGATATATCATTATTAAATTAGTTGTGTAACAATCAGCAAAACTAAACTACGAACTTCAATCACATACCTGTCGTCCATGGGCACACAAGAAACCGTAATATCAGCACCAGTGTCAACATGCTTCTGCATGTACGAATTGCATCGTGAAGAAAGTGTGTGGTAATAAAACACATAGACAAATCAAGAAAAGTGGGTGCAATTTGCCATGTGAATCGGTGAACCAGTACCCGAACAAAGTCCATATAGTCCATTCGGTAAAGATGGTCACCCGACAAGATCAATATATGCTCCACATTCTTGGTCCTGGAATCCTCAAGTACCCATATGAATTGCCGTACTGCATCAGCAGTACCTTGAAACCACCTCTTTCCTGCTTCTCCCGGTGTTTGGGTGGCAGCTAGAACCTGCATCAACATATATTCAACAACCCAGTAAAGCAGGTATAGATCTCCACAAAAAACCCAGTAAAATCCCACAAAAATTAGGGTCCAAGCAGATTTAGATTTTCAAGGTAATAATTATTTACAATAAAGCACAAGACCATCCATACCTCCACAAATCCATCCCCAAAATTCACTCCATTTCCAATGCTATAGGTGCGAGCGATGTGGCGATTGAGAGAGAAGGAATTGAACTGAGTTAGTATGAATATTTTGCTGATTCCACTGTTGATACAGTTGCTCATTGGTACATCAATCAGCCTGTAGCAACCACCCATTGGCACCTGCAAAACAACACTTCGTATGTGCAAATGAGCATCCTTTTAAAAGAAAATGAGAAACCTTCATGGCATCTTTTGTAGTCAAAAACATGAACACGGGAAAGGAAGTGAACATTCTTTACATGAAAATGAGCCATTATCAACAAAACATTGCAAAAATAGCACGGGAAATATGTAGATGAAAGGTGTAATTTGAGGCAAAACAAAGCAGATTTGAGAGATTATGGAATCATCATAACTCACAATGAACTCCTAACAAGTTAAACATCAAATAACTAACACAACACTGTTCAATATTTTTCAAATACCACTCATGATATCACTTTAAAGTACTTTGTATCATATAAATGAGGTCGGTGCTCTGTTCGACACCAAAGTGGTTTCTATCCCACTAACCCCAGCCCGCTTTTGTATTTCCGATATGCTAGATGCTACAGTGCTCAGTGTAGCGTATAGGCAAAACAAGGGGTTAGGTGGGTTTATGGGATAGGAACCACTTTGGGTCGAACGGGGCATCATAGGACTGGCAAATTGTGTAGGTGTCATAGTATCGTGTCAAAAGAACCCCAATGCATATAAATACTCAAACCCACTAGGACAGGTCTTACAGCGGGTTTAGAGCGGTTTCTTGTGAGTGGAAAGAGACGGGTCCCAGCACCGCCACCCAGGATGATGGAGGCTACATTTCTTGGGTCAGCGTCAGGATGATCTTCAATAAAATCTGTATCAAATGACTGAAACAAATACAAACACATGAATCAGATAGATAGATCCGAAACCTAAACTTTTACATGAACAAGAAAAAAACATCATTTGATCAATGTGTGAATCTGCATACCAAAAGCTGCTTGTTAATGTCATGTGTCAGGACAGAATAGGTAACCCCAAGGTTTCCCTTCTTAGCCCTTCTTCTCCCGCGGCTCTCAGTCTCACTAACCCTAATGCCTCTGTTTTTAAGGCATCCCCTTGTCTTCTCACCCCAGAATCCACTGTACCCATACCCAAACTTCTTGGACATTGACCCTTGGTGAACATTGACATTCATAGAAGAAGCACACAGGGCATCCATAGCTATATCCACAGTATAAAAGCACAACTTCCCACAGTTTCAAGCAACTATATATACTTTACCAAATCAAGAACGAGCATAAGTGTCAAGAAAGCTGGAAAAACCCCCAAGATTTATTGTGAATTTGACAGAGCTAGTGGAGGTTGTTATGACTTGCAAAAGACACACCAGACCCAGACAAAGGGTGTTTGATGATTAGTTCTTTCCAGTAGGAGTGGCCACGAGGAGAAAAGGGAAAAGGTGGATCGAAAAATAAAAGGTAAAAAGGGAATTCAGAAGATAATTTTTGGCCATTTCAAGTAGCAATGAACACAAAGATCTGAGCTTTTAGTTAGTACCCTGCTCTCCTTTTGGTGAACAGGTCGCTGTGAATCTCGGAATTTGGAGATGGCACTGGTTAATTCTTCTTACGGAGAACTCCGTAATCGTATTTCCCATTTTTAAATTCTCATTTTGCTCTTCCCAATCTTTTTTTTATCACACTCTTCTTGATCTTTTACACTATGTTTGGTTTATGGAATTTCACAGGGAAAGAAAAATAAGATGTGAAGGAAAACATTTTTTTTGGTTGGCTAGAGAGAAAAAGAAAAGAAAAGTGGAAGGAAAAGAAAATGAGATGGCAAAATGTACTAAGATGAAATAAAACCAAATTCCTCCCATTTTGGTGAGTAATTTGAGGGAAAACCGTTTTCTTTTCTTTTCCTTCCTATTTCTTTGAACCAAACATAGTGTTAGGGGCTGTTTGACAACTTCTGAATGGGTAAGTGCTGAACCAGAAAAAGGTCTGAATCATTAAGTGCTGAACCAGTAAGAGGTCTGAACCATTAAGAGCTAGTATATTGCTTAACTATTAA